GAACCATACGTGCCTTGCAGCGATGGATCGTATAGTAATGGGTATCGTAATGGTTATGGTTATACACCTGCAAGTCAATGGGGTTATCACCCAGCTGAGCTTGAATCCAGCGGAATGGAACTCTTTGAGTGCCATGACGATGATCATCCCGCAAATGTTGACATTAGCATAAAAGGCAAGAAAAGAGAAGATGGGAGCATATTCTTAAGACTCAGAATTGCTGATAAAGATGGTTAGAAGCGTCAAACTGTCTTTTTATTTTCAGCCATACTTATTTTCCATTTTCTCTGCTGACCAATTCAACTTTATCTTGCTTTATTCTGGACAGGTCCTATCCGGAACATATATTTCCCTTTTGACATCGAAATAGATACAGCATTAAGTGTAGCTACAGAAATGGTTGCTGAATTGGATCTAAACGACCAAGATGCGACTAAGATCGCTGATATGATTGATGGGGAGATGTCTTCTTTGGTTCCAGAGTGGAGGCCAGGGCCCGGAATAGAGGAAACACCACGGTTTGCAAACCAAAAGTTTTGTGAGAACTGTGCATCCAACCGCACCTCCACTGGCTCCTTCGTGGATTTTTTATCACATCACCCTGAGTTCACAAACTTGCAGATGCAGTGTTGCAAGAACGGATGCGCTTCAATGCATGGTAGGTTTGAGGAGATAACCTACCAAGCTGGCGGTCCGGAGCATCTCACGAGAGAGGGTGCACCAAATGTGTGGAGCACATCAGAGGGCTCAGATTATCATGACATCTGGGATCGGCGGGAAAGTCGTGATCTCAGTTCGGCAGGACCCTCTGAACCGAGTCACACTGATGAAGAGAGTGAAAGGTTGGATGTATCAGTTTCAAAGGAAACTGGGACGGTGATGAAATCAGAAGATAAAGTCCCATTTAGTGCTGGAGAATCAATTCTGCAAGCAACTGGTTCATGCTCGTCGTCAGCATGTCCGTCTTTTTGCCGTGATCTTTTAGATGATTATGAGAATGTGGTCCAGCATGAAGTAAGATGGCTGAAAGCGAAGTATCAGATGCAGTTGAGAGGAGTCAAAGACCTACAACTTGGACAGACTTCGAAAGTTTCAGCTCACTCTAACCGGGAAGTGAAAACAATTAACGTGGTTTCACCGACTGTGGTTCAACCTTTAAGTACACAGTTGCAGGATGGAGCTTCACGGAACTTCCCTGCTTGTAACGAGCATTCAACTTCAGATGGCCCTCAGTCCATGTATGACGTTAGCCCCAATTTGGAAACCCGAAGGGCCCGAAATTGTGAGGCGGATAATGACTCCTCAAGAGAAGTAGCAACGGCCACCGCTGAGAGTTTCTACGCCATGTCACTGCTTCCACACACGCTCCATAGGACGACATCCCTTCCTGTTGACGCTGTTCATATATAGGTTCCTAAGGCACTTCTCATTCTTGTACAAGTCTAATACATCCCCAGAGAGACTGCAATTGTCGGATCCGCCATTTTTCAACCGTGTAATGATGTTAGAAATGCAATGCCAATATCTATCGAGATGCGATCCTTTAAATTAGCCGTTTGCCAAGTTCATTGCCATGTCTGGTCTGGTTATATCCAAGATCTCATTCATTTCTTTCGCCCGCCTTAAGAGTCAGATTTATTATATATTTGCCAGGGTAATGCTGCTTTTAACCTTGGGCAAGAAAAGTAAGCAGCATGGTCAGTCTTGTTCTAAAATGTTTTTTGGTCGTTCCTTCAATGAGCAAGGTAAGGGGGACTACTACAAAACGTGTGCTGAACTATCAATGCACGAGGAAAATTTCCTTTCATGGGTACTTTTGGAACCAATCATGCAAAGAGCCTCGCATCATGGCACATGCACAACTATGGTCATGTAATCATAACTGTGCCAATATCATGTGTTCTGTCAAATTCATGGACCCATCTGGTATACCCTAAGCATTGCTGTGCTTTAAGATTATCTCGTCCCTTATTTATCCCCAAAGCTGATCACATACAGAGAGGCTCTGTCCATGCCTGTCATGAGTTGGAGAGTTGAAACACTGAGGAGCATTGGATCTGGATGTGATGATGAGACTGAATTATTTGCTTTCTTCCCCATCTTTATAAGGGACCACACCACAAGCCCTCGTGCCAATAATTTAGAGACGGGGCTTTTCTCCTTTTTGAAGACACAGAGAGAGAGAGAGAGAGAGAGAGAGAGAGAGAGCATAATAGACTGGGCCACCAATTAAAAGCATCATGTAACTATGCATACCCAAAAAAATTAAAATCAAATAAAAGGTGTCAACATTCTGGCTTCACCCACAAGAAAAAGTTGATTTGAGCGTGGGGGCTGGTCGACCGCCTTGCAAGAAGACTTCCTCTTCATCTTGAGGGCTTGGACTTTGGAGGCGCACGCGTGTTGAAATCACACGTTTGCAAGTCATTGTCAGGACCAAGTTGTGGAGCGCTGTCATCAATACGAGACTTGGACTCCTTTTTTGGGTCAAGAACTTTGAAAAACTGAAGCTTTTTGCGTTCATCTTGGGGGATAAGAAAGAGGTTTGGTGGTGGGGGAGATTGCGCGTGGTCTCCTGAGAGGAATGAAGTTGGAGGCCAAGTTGCATGGGGGGCGAAGAATCAGCACCCAAATTAGAAAGTTAAAAGGCATATACGAATTCAATTTTGGGTGACATGGTCTAACATGGTGGATTCAGCTGTGATCATTAGCTGACCATCTTCACTTTTGGGGGATATTGATAAAGTTTGCGAGGCAAAACAAGGAAAGAAGAAGAAAGATTAACAGAAACATGCGATGGCATGCGCATTTTGAACTCTTGTGGAAGATTCAAGGGTCATGTTGAGTTGGGTTTACCTAGAAAGAGGGGATTGGATAGTTAATGACAGATGAAGATGGGCATAATCCACGAAGCATTATCATCAACAACAAAGTGGCAGGCAGGGTCAACTTGACAAGGCAGGGCCCAACTGATTGAAATGCGAGAAGATTGAAAGAGAGATGAGACGTTGTTACCTTTTCTGAGTGCTGCTATGGGGTTGTTGACAGTGACATGAAGTTGATCTTAACTACATAAAGAAAGAGTCAAAAGAGAAACAAGCGTCGAGACGCGTCGAGCCGGGATTCGGAAATTAGCACAGTAACCGTGCGACCGGAATTCAATCGGGTGTTAAACATGACTTACATGTATAAAGATCAAGCTACGGTCTATTTACATCACAAATATATTGATTTATGAATCGGTTCTTTTAAATGCATCTAAAATTACTTTCAAATGGTATTCTTACCACATGATAACAATCCGGATGGATGTGATGAGAGAATCCCTTGAGGGTCAAAAGTGAAAAAATTATCCAAAAAGTCATAAGCTTATTGTACTTTTATCAATTCAGTCATAAACTTTGAATTTTATCAATTGAATCCATTTGGCCAGAAATTACTAACATGGATGCCGGCCGTCCTACGAGGCATAATCGGCGCTAACATGGACAGTTAATATTTTAATATTTTATCGATTTTTTAATTATTTTTTCTAATATTTTTCTTTCTTTTTCTTTTTGCCGGTGACCGGCCATAGGCGATGGTCGGTCATCGGCCATGCCAAACGGGCTGGCCTTACCTGGGCGATGGTTGCCATCACCCGCCAAAGGCAAGGCCCATCCAAGCAAGCCTCGACGAGGCCGGCCTCGCCTGGTCGGGCCTCGCTTGTGGCAGGAGACGATGACCCTCGCCCAAGCGAGGCCAGCCTACCTAGCCATGGCTGGCCACTGGTAAAATAAAAAGGATAAAGGAAAAATAAATAAATATATTTGTAAAAATCGTCTACATCAGTGCCGATCATGCCATATAGGAGGGCTAACATCCACATCAGCGAATTCCAATCAAAATTGACCATACGAAACTCAATTGGCAAAATTAAAAAGTTTAGAAATGAATTAACAAAAATACAGTTGATTTAGGACTTTTTCAAATGATTTTCCCCGTCAACAGTTGGTATGTTGATTATGATTACTTCTTTCAGGAATTTGATGGTTTTGGTCGGCACCCCGCGTTTAATTCACGCAGGATAAGGAAGTGATTCGATAGTCGGGATTGTGAAAACCATGGGAAATACAAAGCCCTATATGTCGAAAGCATTCAAAGTCAATGATTCGTGATTCATAGTGGATCCTAGAGATCTGTAAATTTCAAACCATCTGAACCAAGCAATGGTCTTAAAACTTCAAAAAGAAGGGGAGGGGGAAATATTAGGCTGGTTACACACAGTTTTTGTTTAGTACTACATTTGGAGGATCCTGGTACCATCACAAAACAGAGAAGAACAAGGAAAAGCAGACAATTTCTTGCAGGCCTTGGAGTTGAATTTTGTTCTGGCATCGAACTTGTTTGAGGTCTGAGTTAGAAATAGACCAAACAAAGAGCTTCGTGTACTCCCTAAAGGTCGAAGTGGAAGCTTTTTTGGCTCTACCTGATTTGGACTAAGGGCACTCAAATCGCTGGGAAAAAAGATGCAGATCAACCCGCCCAACTTCTGTTGACTCAGAACACCACACTCAGTGTGAGTGATAGGAAACGATGGGACTTTGGACCCATCAGTTTCTGGCTTAGTGAGGTCCACTTTAACATTCCCAAAATGCAAGTGAGGTGTTGGAAAAGCCAGATGTGCAATCCACCAACACTGCTCACAACCATCACAAGTGCCAAACCTTCAATAAAGCTTAAAGCATTGAGACATTTCTTGGGGAAGTTCATGACATGCACAAGAACGGTGGTGAAAGTGAGGCATGGGTCTAGTCCTTGCAAATGACAAATAATTGATGTTCGCTGCCACGTAATTTCCCTATTCTTGATGATATTGGAGTGTTCCAATTAAAAAGAGCAGGACCAAGAGTAATTTCTAGGGTCCTTTTCTTTCAAAGGCCTAATCTGATGCAGACATGCCAACATAGTTGTCATTAGCTACTTCAGGAAATCCCATAAATCTGGCAAGAAAATCAAGATACGAAAACTTCCTTCTGTATCTCATAAGCTCAAACCTCTGAAGATACAACTCACAAGCATTGAAGTCATGGAGCTGGTTGGGAGATATTAAAAGCCTGTGCCTTTGCAGCTCGATTACAAAAAATTAACAGTATTTTTTACCTACTCATTCTGTATACTATACAGGACCTATTCTATACAAATAACTCCAAGCATGCAACTTTGACTCGGATTCATACCTCTAACAAAAGCAATTGAAACCTCATCATATATGTTATAAAGGCCTCAGTAATGCGTAATCTTCGAGAAGCTCCCTCTCTGATAGTGTGTCATTTTCATTTTGAGGGGTCCACAACACCTCAACTGCCTGCATGACCAACAAAGAGATGTCAGAAGGCGAATGAAGAGATCCTCGGGGTAGATATTCATAGAAATTTCTATGTTCTTACTAGTATTTTGCTAGAGGGGATGGACCCAAGTTTCTGCAAGGCTTCTTTCAGATCTCCACCACCATTAATGGAAGGCAATTTATGGACTCCTTCAGCAGCCACTAAGATGGTTATCTGAAAAGAAAGAAAATTGTAAGCAACAAAAGACGATTGAAAGAAAATGGGAACATAAGAGCCAAGTAAAAACTCTTTAATTAATCCACACATCGAGCTCTTAAATCTAATTTTGAAAATTCTCAAACTCATGTAAAAAGCTGTACAGAACAAAATGCAGGTAACAGCAGTAATTAATATACTGGAAGGCAATAAAACTAAAAACTACAAGCCTCGTGATGCATGATCATGATGCTTGCAGTCATAGTTCTAAACGAAAAAGGTAGATTCACTGGAGCTTATACAGATTTAACATCTTTCAAAGTTCTTGACTAAAAGGTTGATTCACTGAAGAATATACAGATTTAACATCTTAGGCTCCGTTGAGGTGATGAGGATGTGTAAGTGGGTTACGCAACCAATCTCATCAAAGTGACTACTACAAGCTTTTGCGATGTACTTCAACCAGACAAAGAACCATCACTGGTTTTGGATGGCTTTAAGCTTCCAAAACAAGAAAAATAAGCCATGCTCATAATGTGGTTTTCAGAGCCAAGGTAAAGCCAAGTCCGATAACATAATAACACTCGATGAGCAGCAGGGATGTCAACTCTGTAAATGGCAGCAAAATCCATACATTATTTTTCGAAGAGCACCAACATCACTACAAGTCTCGAAAATTCCCTAAGATCTCAATGATCAATCTTATAAATCTTACAGACTTGTGATAAAATCTGTCACATAAGGACTGTAAGAGCATATAAACCAAAAAATCTGATAGCTGAATTATATAGTTCTAAGGCTTAATGATTTCTTGATTACGTCAACTCAGCTAATTAAGAACGTGAAGTTATAGATCAAATAATACAAGGAAATGAAAACTGCTAGGAACAATGACACACATAAAAGATCAGTTGGATAATGGAAGATCTTTATCAAAACACCAGTGCAGGAACTTACCACTATGTACTCATTGCTAAATCCACTAGATCTCTGGCTGGTGGTACTTTGCTTTCTTATGTTGTTCACATTAACAAGTGTCTCTTCGTCAAACTTCCCTCGCTCTTCAATTGACAGCTGATTGAAACGTTTCTCCCCATCTTCCATGCTCCGCTTCACATCCACCTAAATAAAGATCCAATTGCAGGAAAAATTTAGTGTAAAGACATCAATTCAATGCGTTGAAAGAAAATCGATAAAAAAAAACTCAGACAGGAAATTGGGAATCAGAGTTGCTACAAGCTAGATACCCAAGCAGCACTGTAGACTCAATAGAAGAAGCCTATCAAGCAAAGATTTTCTAATTTCTCATGTGGCAAATTAGGATAAGCAAGAGTTCTTCTGTCCTGTGTACCAAGCTAGAATTATCATGTAGATGTTTTTGCTTTGTGTTAGAGGGTTTATAGTAACCTTATGATCCCTAGTTCTTTCTTTTGAAGAGGAAATTCAACTAAGTCAGCACTAATGGTTCTGGTGCATTGAGCATCACAACTGCACAATCCTATCGTAAAGAACAGGCCTTCTTCCAGCAAGACAGTGCATACCAACTAAAAGCTCAAGCTTATCCTGGCTGGGGAAACACAAGTGTCATAGCGGCTGGATTGATTACTGACTTGATATAGATATTTTTCGTGTTTAATAATGCCTCCAAATATGATTATAATCACAATCACTATGTTCCACGTGTTACAAGATTCCCTATTCTCAATTTGCTAAAACTTCTACATCAGTGAAAGTTCCAGATGATGGATTTAACTTACGGATGAATAACCAGAGATGCAGTAATCAGGATGCCGGAGCAAGGCAAGTGTCGTCTCTGCACGAAGATTTTCCAATAAGTACAATTCAATAATATTTAATAACTCAATCCCCTTGCAACTCGGAATCATTGCTCAAAGAGAGGGGAAAAAACTAAAAAGATAGCGCTTCGTATAAGACACTTAATCCCATCATAGCCCAGATGCGGACACCCTTATGTGAGTGTCTGAATGGAAAATACAAGTTCCGTCAATTTCCCAATGCTGACTGCATGATATTAAAGATCCTCCACATCATTTCAAAATAAGCATGAAAGACTGTTGAGAGACACATTAATCCCTACATTTCAGTCCCTTCATCCATTTGATTGTTTGGTCAGACACTAGGAAACAAACAATTTAACTACCAAACAACTTTAATGGAGATGTTAGGAAAAAGAACTTCAAAAATTAAACCATTTTAGAGTTCATTCGAAACTAGCAGATGTTAGGAAAAGGCATCAATTGTGAAAAAGGCAGAGAGGAAGAATTAGGAAATTTACCAGTCAGGACATAGCTAAGACCCTCAGATGAGGATGTATCTGCAATATCCGCTATCTTATTAAGATCTCTTTGAAGTGACCTTCCCATGCCCAACAATCCAACCTGCACAAAATGACCTGGGGAAACTCAAAAGCTAAACGGGACTAGATAACTCCATACTTACAAATATTCATAGTGCCTAAAGAAGCTAGTAGATGGTGGACTACCAATATTAGACTACCAAAATACATCACCTCAACCCTTTTGGCTACTCCACTCACATGAAAGAAAAATGAAATACCTCTTCCACACGAGTTGTACAGATCATTCCAATTTAGCTTCAACAAGAAAGCATTTGTTTCAAATTCGAAACCACCCAGCTCATTGCAGATAATCCAAAGTTAGTTCCAATTCCAGCATCCATAGCATTTACTTGCACTTCGATCGAGGAATCTAGGGGCAATCCCAACTATTCCTCCTCTTACTCGCACCTTGACTAATCAAAATTGTCAACTCATCTTTCTGAATTCCTTAGTAAACACATCCTAACAACACATGGTAATTCTAAGCTTAATCACATTTTCCCCCCAAGAACAGTAGGACCTCGATCACAACCACACAACCATTAAGTCCACAGAAACATGATCAGAGCGCAGTTCTCGAAGAAAAGTTTTTTATGCATGTGTACTATATCAGAGATAGAATCTAGATCCCCTTCACCTTGACACATTTGCAGAGTGGCCTTTTGCACTTTTATTTCAGCAATTGCAATGCATATACTATCCATATTCGCTTCAATGTCTATTCCATCCATCTTTTACTAATCCTAGCATGTCAACAATTAGGTTGCCAAGTATGATGGTGCCATCAAACCCAAACGAAGATGGACAGGAGGGATTAATGCAAATATGAACAACACAGACAGTAACTTTGAAGTCCAATTGCAAAGGCCACTATACAAATACCCCACAAGGCGTTCCACCATTTCACTCCTACATCAACAATGATGATTGATGAGTAAATTCGCCCCTCATCTAAAGCTGATAAACTCCACCTAGTTACCCAGTCCAAATGAAACTCAGAACCACAAACCATTGCAAACCGCGAAGCATTTCAACAAACACTAAACAATCACTCGTACCTGAAGCTTGAGCACAGTCGTTTTCTCCGTCACGGTGAGCACACCACCCTCAGACCGATCCGAGAGAAACCCCGAGACCAGAAGAAACGCAGCGAAGCCCATAAGTATCAAGAAGAAGCTCGACCCCGCGCCCACTCCAACCCCAACCGCCGGTCCCACGTAGGCTCCGCCAAACGGCGAAGGGGCGTAATACGGAGCCGAGTACGAATAGCCAGGGCTGGGCGTCCTCGTTGTATAGCTCCTCGAAGACGAGGAGGAGGACGAGGACGAGGACGAGCGCGAGGAAAACGAGCTCCCGCCCATCCTCCCGCCGGAAGCGGCCAATGCGGAGTTAGGATCGTAGGCGAGCAACAACCCAAGCAGGATCGCGGCCACCGCGGGCCCCTTGAGCGACTCCAGGGCCCTGGCGATGGAGCTCAGGACGGCCTCGAGCGGATTCCACCGGTCCCCCGCGCCCGGAGGAGAGCTCCCGGGGCCGTCCCCGCGCGCGGAGCACCGGGCGGCGGCGGCGAGGTCGCCGCGGCGGACGGGCTCGGCGCCGGAGCCCCGCGCCGCCGCCGGCGGGGCTCGGCGGTTCTCGAGGCGAACAACGCGGCGGCGGGCGGCTCCGGGGAGTCGGCGAGGAGGAAGGGGCGGCGGCGGCGGCCGCAGCTTGCGACCCCACCCGGGAAGGCGCGGCTGGAAGAGGAAGAGGGTCGCCGCCGTGGCCATGGCTTCGGCTTGGGGTCGATGGCGGGTGCGGAAGGAGCCAATGCCCTCGAAGAAGAAGAAAGAAGAAGGAGAAGGAAGAAGAAGAGGAGGAGGAGAGAAAAAGGAGCGAACTTTGATCAGAGATAATTTCTTTTTTTTTTTTGGTGAGAATGGGAATGGAGTGGAGGGGAGACGCGGGGGGTTGGCTTTGTGGTGGTGCGTGGCCGGAGGGAACATGAATGAACCCCATCTCTCCGTGGCAATGAGATTTTCCAATTCATCGTCTCCCCATCTCCAAAATGACCAGATAAAATCCATAAATACATAAAAATAATAATAAAAGAAGAAGAAAATGACATGGAAACGGTTCCGGACTTTGGTTTAGCGCCGCAACGTGGCCCATGAAACTTTTACTTCGTTGAAGATGATCTCTGAACTTTGGTCCCCAATGTCGCGCCCCAAGCTTTTTGATTTGTGCGAGTTCCCTGGGCTTATAGTACTAATACGGTTCTGCCCCTGCCCCTGCATCATGTGAAAATGTTTAATATCGTCTCTAAGCTTGAATCTAGGGAAGAATAATATTGGATATGAATATAGGGACCGGATTGAACGTTCCGTGTATAAATTAAAAGTTTGGGAACGATATTGTACGTTGGGCTAAAGTTTGGAGACTGCATTGAATAAATTAAAAGCCTACGAGCAACATTGAAACATTTGTCCCCAATGCGGTCTCTGGACCTTTAATTCGTTACTTTACTCTAACGCTTAATGCCATTCTTGAACTTTTTCAACGTGGTCCTTGAAGTTTCGGTACATGCTCGATTTGGTCGCCGGACTATATAAAAATGTTCGGCGTTATGCCCAAACATGAGTTAATTCGGGGACTAAATCAAGCATATATCAAAAGTTCATGGACTATATAGAGATCGCATGCTTGTACCATTTTTTCATTAACAATGAATATGTAAATAAAGCAAGGCCAAGATTTGCATTTTTCCAGGTCAATGGCGAAGACGGAGATGGACCCAGTTGTGCCCGCTGAGGTTGGGCCTCCGGTAGGTAGCCCAGCAAGAAGATCCATGGAGGAGCTCCTTCGCTGACGCAGTGAGAAAGCCCGGAAAGTTTGCGACTTTGCAGGATCTTTTGCGCTGTGGGGAAAAACCCTAATGCTATAAATTCGAAGGGGATCCGCCGTGAACCCGCATCGTCGTCTTCGGAGCTGCCCTGCACCTGCACCTGTACCTGCACCTGCACCTGCACCTGCTGAGGTTTCCGCTTCGGCGCCGACCGAAAACACCAGGGAGGAAGAGGCAAGTCATGGCGGACAAGGCGGTGACCATTAGGACCCGCAAGTTCATGACCAACAGGCTTCTCTCCAGGAAGCAGTTCGTGAGTCTCCCTCCCTCTCCCTCCCTCCCTCTCTCTCTCTGTGGAACGAGCTTGTTTTGTGGTGTTTGCGCATCAGAGCGCAAGATTGGATTCGTGAATGCGGTATTTAGGATTTGGGTAGATGGGATCGGTGGGACACTCTGGAAGGGCCATTGGGTCTGCGCTAGTTTGGTTCCCTGAAAAGGGTTTTGGGTTGGGCTGAAATGGTTTCAAGGGTCTTGAAGATAAGCCACGGAGGTTTGTATGTACGTGGAAAGTTTACTGATTTGTAGGTGAAGGGAACATCATTAGCTTTGAAGCGCCATGGATGATCGCAGGGATTAAAAATTAACCAGGAGAAATGAATGGTAGAGTGATACGATTTGCAGCATTTGTTTTCGTTGGTCGAAACAAGAGGTGGGTTAGTTTAGGATGATTTAGAGTTTTTCAAAAGCAAAAGATGCTGTGTGTTTTTCCATAGTAATGGAGTAGGGAATGGGAGCAAAACAAGCTCCTTCATTTTGCAGAAATATGGAGTCGCAGAAGGTCGGAGTGTTAAATTGCATTGATCAAACCTTTTTCCTGACTGCTGATGTTTTGATTCCCATTGCTCTGTAGGTCATTGATGTACTTCATCCCGGAAGACCCAATGTCTCCAAGGTAATTAAATGTTGGTTCGACAGTCATATTCTGCTTGGTCTGGCGCATGTGCCACAAACGTTGGAGATATTCAGCCAAAGAGTTGTTTGCTAAATGGAGGTCTTTTTATAGGCGGAGCTGAAGGAGAAGCTTGGAAGGATGTACGATGTGAAGGACCCAAACTCAATCTTTGTGTTCAAGTTCCGGACTCATTTTGGAGGCGGGAAATCTACTGGCTTTGGTTTGATCTATGACTCAGTTGAGACTGCCAAGAAGTATGAACCCAAGTACAGACTCATCAGGGTAATTTTCCTCATGTCATCCAATCTTTCGCGGTCACTCTTTCTCCTCATGTCATCTAATCTTTTGTGGTTCCTCTTTCTCCTCATCTGTTGAATTGAAATTGTACTCCGGCCAACTGAATTGCTAGTTTTTCCTTGCTGAAGTGATTATCTATATATATTGGAGTTTAGAATACCTTGGCCCTATGCAGTAGACATGTTTCTGGGACAACCCAACTTGCTGGGCTCCCAACCCTTTATAAACCGTAACAATGTAGCTGATTAAGCTTATCTTCTTTAGGCAGGATTTCTGAGTAGAAGGTTCTGCAGTGAAAGCCCTGCAAGCTACTTGATAACTGAAACATAACCATTATATGTTTGGGAAAATTATCTTTAGTATTCGGGACTCTGCAATTTACCTGTTGAATACGGGACATAAATTCTTTGCATATGGTGGTTTGGAATGAAATAGTGCACTTGATTATCTTAGGGATGTAGTCCTTTTATTTTACATGTAGACGGCCTCCGTAGCCAGACTTTAGTCATGACTGAGCTGAGTAAAGAAGGTAATTTTGCATGGCAGAACGGACTTGATACCAAGGTAGAGAAGTCGAGAAAGCAAATGAAGGAAAGGAAGAACAGAGCCAAGAAGATCCGTGGAATAAAGAAGGTAGTTTCGGATCTATGTTTCTTTCTGGTTTCTTGGTTCCCGGATGGTCTTGTTGATTCTTAATCTTCCCTACTCCTGTGCAGACTAAAGCTGGTGATGCTGCCAAGGCAGGGAAGAAGAAGTGAGGCGTCTAGAGTCTCGTTGATTCTGAAAAGCCTAGGAGATGGGAGTCAATTTCAATTGCGATTATGTTCTCTTGTTAGGGAGGTAGCTATGGAGTGAATTGTTTTGTTTCTTGCTGTTTAGCCCGGTGTTTAGTCGGTTTACGAATTTTGACTGTTCTGTGGAGGACAAAAGTTTTAGAAACAGAGATCAAGAAGCTTTGAGAGAATGTTCTTCGCGTTTGTTAAAGTTGTTTTTTGAAATCAAAGCTCGTGTAATATTTGGTCTTCGGGAAAGGACTCCCCTCGTTTCTTTGCCCTTTTTTACTATGAATAATATCCCTCGGACCGGTTGAGATGTTTTTATGCTCGATGCATGTTTTGAGACAAGTAGCATGTCTTAGCCGACCACCCTAGGAAGTTGATGATAACCAAAGCTTGTTTGTAAAATTGGATCCCAATACGACAGTCTATTTAACAGCGGCGCATTTCGTCTTCTTCTCCGGCATTGGGTATGTTCTTTGGAATAATCGTGTACATCGAATAACAAAGTATATGAAAATAAAACAGGATGGGGGTTGGCCTGTCACCGCTCCTGCCCGTGCGGCATGACACCACGGGGCGCGGATTCCATGTGCCCCGTGTCCTTTCCTAGGCCACGATCGGTGTGGGGACACCGGCCACCCGCTCGTTCCGGGATCCATAGATCGTCAGAAAGAATGTATGGTAACAAGAAATGGATAGTGTTGAGTTGCACCAATCTCCTTTTGTGAAGTTGAGTTTGGTCGACGCGCTCAGCAAACCTTCATCAGAAGGGGGTGATTATCAAGCAAGAGCGAGAGCATGGCAAAAAATGGACATTCAGGCAGGCGTTCCAGGATAAAGGGAAATCAGCCCTCCGATTTGTTGTGGGATGTTGTCCATTTGTTGTCACGGGGTCCGAATTGATGCAGGTGGGCCATGTCTGATTCTCAACGTGGTTTCTTTTGGCCTTATGTAGCTCAATCTGTTGCTGTGGAGATGGTTAGCAAGAATCAGAAGCAATACCATTCATGCTAACGAGACATTGCACCATACACGCAAGTGTCACGGACCGAAGTGATGTAGGGATTCTCCCGTGCTCACGTATCATTGGGAGTGAAGCTTAGGGGCGGTGGAGTAAAGAGTGAATAATGTAGAAGGGATGATATAACTGATTTGTAGGAGTGACATCATGGCATTTGTGTTATGAGTTTTAACGATTGGACGATTCTAACTTTAGCTTTGAAGGCGAAATTAGCCTCCTATGCATAAACTAATCGGGAGCTGATGATAAGGTCATGGCAAACCGAAATCAGTTATTATGCCTAGAGTGTTCTGCGTGTCTTGCTCGAGCGACTGAATGTCCAAACTAAAATGGACGTGATACGATCCGATACGAGCATGCTATTTACCATACCGTTCTCTTGAACAATTATAGAATGAAGGCTGGCATTATAAAATGAAGGCCGGCCTTGTGTTCTCGGTTCACCAGGCGCTACACAAGCTATTTCGCAGCCAAAGATTTGTCGGCCGCTTGACAAAAGCATCCAAAGATACTTCGGTCTAAGAAGCTTTGCTTCGGCAGTATCTATCTCAGCCAATACTTGGCTCTAGTAGGATCATGCCTGTCTTTTTAACCAACGAAGGCCAACCCCTAAGGGTCACGCTCAATTCAGAATCAACTTCACTCCTCTCTCTCCCTTTAACTTTTCTTTTGGTCGGCGACTAGGATACGGTCTCCGACTCTAATATCGTAGGTGCCGGAAGGGAGCGGAAGAGATACCGCCCGTAGTACAGCTATATATGAATGCGATGAACAAGCAACAGTTTTTTTATTATATGTTTCTTTTCTTTTACCAACAGACTTTGAAATCTTTGCAAAGTATGTCTTGCTTGGGCACAGCCCTGTTCTGAGGCACTGAGGACAAACGAGAAGGCTCCACTTCGTGAGGCAAAGCTAAACGGGCAAACGAGCGAGGAACTACTATTGATCCAGACTGTTCAGCAGTTTGTTCCTTCTCAACGCATTTGTAAGAAATCAAGAACACTATCCCCCCCAATTGTATTGTTGCTCCTCAATCTGCCCAAAAGAACCTTCCCCAAATCAGGAACAAGCCGAACTGAAATCGCATGTACTGCTAGTGTACGAGGGCTTGGACTCGAGGAATGAAACTCGAATATCTAACTAGCATTCGGAGCAAATTCAGTAGCAGCATTGAGTGAACTACTAAGCTTTTCTCATCTCCCTCAAAGAGAATAACCAATCAATAAACGGAGAATAGATGGTCGCATCACGATTCCTCAGAAAGAGATATCTAGCAGCATCATGTAAAATGAGCAGGGCAAGTTCATACGGTGCCCTCACCCATCGTCCAATAGAGTCTATAATTAGGTACTGTCAAAACGTTGAACTATCACTCCATCCAGACTCCCTCCATGGAATAGCAAACAAAAACAAGAACAGCATACAACTATCGGCAGATAAAAGCAATCAGAAAAAAAGCCATCTAACCAAATCACGGGAAACTAAAGGCCGTAGCCACAAGAATGCAGAGGCAAGATAGAAGTAATAATATAACACTCATATCATATATGAACTCATTAATTATAAGCATTAGCCAAGAAGTTATAGCATCAGATTTTGGTAAGACAAAAATGACAAGATCGAAATTATAAATGCCATAACAACCAAAACTGTCACCAGGACCATGTAAGAACAAATTTAAACAAACTATAGGACTGAAGTAGTAACATGCCCCTCTTTCCACGCACCAAATTTCCTAGCCGTGATTAAATTAGACTATTTATGTAGCCCAGCTATTCATTGTAGAATTCGCAATTGCAGGCATAAAACAATTGCCACACAGTGTAACGAGCAATTTACAATTTCACCAAGTTGTCCAACAATTCCACAACTTCTATAATGCGGAGCTAACAATAATTAGACCTATAAGTTGTCATTGTAAACAATGCAAACTGAATTTGAGGGCTAATATTACACGTGAAGTGCTAAACGTCAAAATGACTTGAATGCATGATGTCAATGCATCAAACGGAAGAATGAATTCCACCAACAAGTCACAGGGCAGAAGGCGCGATGCAGAGAAGCAGCGAAAACTATAAATACTTTCATCTGTACTAGTCACATGCTGTAAGACGCATCCATCCTCTACATAAACAGTGTGACATGCTTATGAAATTTCATCTCCCACATACTATAAGCGTAACAAGGAAGTATATGCTCATTTGTAGAATACACGTTTAAGCATGGAAGGCACCAGGACAACTCAAAGATCTTCCAGAATATGACAAACCAAGGATAACAATGCAACTCCAGCTCTATTTCCAGCCAAATCCTTCTTGTATTCACTGTAAAGTTAGGCTAGAACATAATTGCAGATCGTACAGGTTTTCAACAAAGATGATGCAAACTAAAGGAAATCGGAATCCCAAAACCCACGAATCTAATCAACCGCCACAAAACATAAGAACTCGCATGAACGGCAGACAGCTCAGAAATCCGACAGGACAGATCCTACCAGGAAAGTTAGAGCAATTCCATTATTTCATCTACCAGTGTTGATTCATAGTAGCCATTATCTACATAACCCAGGAAAACATGGCCAATCTATCGGAGGCTAAATAATTAGAAATAATTATTCACCAACTGCCCTATCATCTTTCGAAGAAAGGTGAAACCGAAATCTCAACTGGCCACTACACTATCAAGAGTCAACTATTTATCAATGCCCAATCAATTTCGCGAAACTTGAGTGGGTAAAACAAGAAAACTCAAACTCACTTACAACTGACATCTCATGAAATTGAAAACCCCAGTGGCTAATACCTTAAATCACCCTCCTCCGCTGGAGCGCAGCTCCTCTATAGTGGCCTTGATATGATCCTGCACCAACTCCAACCGCTTCGAGTACACCTCCAACTCCATTATCTGCTGCTTCCTCCATCTCTCGTCCGCAATTTCGCCCGCGCTGCCCACTCCGAATCCCAATCCACAACTGAACGGCAGCGGATTCAAGGCCGCCGCAACGTACCCAAACCCTCCTCTTGATCCCCCACCGCCAAATCCCCCGCCCATCGCGGCCCCGCTCAACAACTCCTTAAACAAGGGCGATAAGCAGCTCCTCACAGTATCCTCGATCACTCCGGCGACATTGGGATTCGCATTCGCATTCGCACTTGCATTCGCATTCAGATTCAAATTCTGATTTGCATGATTCGATACGGTGGGACCATCAACCCCTAAATTCCTCTCCTCCACCTTCACCTGCTGTAGGTGCACCTGCACCTGCTGTGCATGAGGCTGTGGGTGCGGAGGACGCTGCCTTTTGCGCGACTTTGTGGGCGTGGTCGTCGGATCGAAAAAAGGGTTAGGGTTAGGAGTGCTGAAAAGGTGATTATTGAAATTAGGGTTCCGAACGGTGTCGTCCTCGTCGTCGATGGGATCGTTGTTAGAGCCGGGAGCGGCGGCGGCGACGTTGGTCCAGATCCTGCGGGAGATCTCGAAGGTGGCCTGGTCGTGGGGGCTCTTGAAGGCGAAGTCCTTGCCGGAGCTCATCCTGCCGATCACGTTCCGGTACTTCTTCTTAAGCCGGCGGAGCTTCTCGACGAGCTGGTTCTTGTTGAAATCGAGCTGGAGCTTGGACTTGATCTGGTCGTAGAACGCGGCCGTGTCGTGGTGGCCGCCGGAGGGAGCCCCGCCGCGCTGCGTGGTGTACTCGAGGAAGCCGCGGAGGAGCTCGATCTCGTCCTCGTCGGTCCAGAGGCGCTGGAACAGGGGCTTGGCGACGGTCGTCACGGCGGGGGACGGCCGCTTCAGCTCGGAGGGGGAGATGGTGCCGACGATCGGGGGGACGGGGGAGGCGGCGGGGGCGGCGATGGAGACGGCGGAGGAGGAGGAGGGGGGCTGGGGGGCAGCGGGAGGGGGGACGACGGCGGGGAGGGGATCGGGGCGGAGTGGGGCGGGGACGGCGACGGTGACGGCGGAGGAGGAGGAGGCGGCGGGGAGGGGGAGGGGGAGGGGGAGGGGGATGGGGAGGAGGGCGTCGAGCGGGGTGGCGGTGGGGAGGGAGGAGGAGGTGGAGGCGGAGTTGGAGTCGTCGTCGAAGACGTCGTCGTCGTCGTCGGGGAGGACGGCGCGGTTGGGGAGGAGCTCCTCCTCCTCCTCCTCGTCGGCGTCCTCCTCGTCGTCGTCCTGGCTGTCGTCGTCGTCGTCGTCGAGGTCCTCCTCGTCGGGGAAGACCGCGGCGCCGTCCTGCTCGGAGGCCATGGCGATGGATGGCGGTTGAGGGTCGAGGGTTGGGTGGGGGGAGGTTCGATGTGGACGATGACGGATGATGGATCGGTAGGAGGAGAGGAGCGTCGTCTAGAGAGAGAGCGAGCGAGTTGACGGGGCGCGGGGGGAATGGTTGGGTGGGGGGTGGGGTGGGTTTCCGTGTAGGACCGGGTGGGTGCGGTCCCGTGCGTGCCATTAGCGCCCCCCGCCCCCCGCCCCCCCCCCCCCCCCGCCCACAACTTTTACCCCCTTTTTCCCTCCCGCCCCCACTTTTTTTTATTCATCCATCTCTCCATCTATTATTATTATTATTATTATTATTAAGAAAATTTTAAATAAAAATATGACATGCGCTCGTTTTCTCAAATAAATATATGAAGTAACCATGTTTAGTCTTAAATAAGGGCTTGAAATATCATGACAGTGCAGGAGGACCTTGCTTGGGTGAGGCGACCTTTACCCTCGTCCAGATCTGGCGAGGGAGACACTTGCCCAGCCCTCTTTGGGCATCGACGGTGGCTGCCGATCATTGACAAAGAAAAAAGAGAAAATAGAAAAGAAAGGAAAAGAGAAAAATATTCAAAAAATGGGTAAATGACGAAAATGCCCTTGACCATTCGGTAAGCTAAGCCGCTTTTGAAAGTCACTTTAAGCCATTATTTGCACAAAAAAAAATTCACTTCGGATCTTTATTCGAGAAAATGAGCGTACTTCGTATTCTTATTCTTATTTGATATGAATAACTGTAGGACAATTCATGTGATGGGTGCTTTGGTAGTTGGTGCACGAACAGCAAGACCAAGTCCGTGATCGAAACTATAGGGCAGTAATTAGGCTCAGGGAATCGTGCTGGAGATGGCCCCAGCCAAGCCCGTATCACCTTCATTTGCTTGTCTATTTTTACTGCTACATGGAGCTGAACACAATGGGCTGTGCAGAGGATGAGTGAAATCTGACCATGAACGCAGGGGACGACAGCCCATGTCCATATCTTGGATACGTGTGATCTTGATGAGGAATGCGTGATTTTTCATTTCAAATCCGCCATCTTTCTCAATGTGAAAAAATGGAGGGAATTAGGGGTGAGCGGTTCCCGGTCCGGTCCGGTTCCAAGGTGGAACCGGGAACCGGACCGAGAGAACCGGTTCCCAATTTTGGGAACCGCGGACCGGACCGGTTGGTTCTAGGACCGGAAACCGGACCGGACCGTCGGTCCCGTCCGGTTCCGGTCCGGTCCAATGGAACCGGTTACTTAGGTGCTGCATGAAAACCATTCTGGTTCTGTCCAGAACTGGTTTTTTGTTCCCAGAATCAGTTTTGGACCAGAAACCCGTTTGGTAACGCAATTTCATTTTTCTATTTTCGGGACAAGTTTGCTTCCAAAACTGATTCTGAAACCAGAAATGAGAACCAAAAAATAGTTGGTTTTTCATTTCTGGAACAAAAGTGAGAACCATTTCTGAGGAATTCATTTTCTTCAACACACATATTCATATGGAAGTCATGATCTTTGAGTTGAGAAAAAAAAGTAAAAAATCAAAAATTACAAAACTTAACAGAATGGTTTAGAATCTGTGGCTACCCACTTTCAGTGAAATTTAAATTTTTTTAGGTACCGAAAAAAATAAAAAATAAAAAATAAAAATAAAAAATAAAAAATTTCACAAAATGGCTTAGAAAACCTATGGCCACCCACTTTGAGCAAAATTTAATTTTTTTAGTTGCCAAAAAAAAATAAAAAATTCTAAAATTTAAAAACTTCACAAAATATCTTAGAATACCTGTGGCCACCCAATTTGAGTGAAATTTTATTTTTTTAGGTGCTAAAAAAAATAAAAAAAACAAAAAATCAAAAATTTCATAACTTCACGAATGCAGAATACTTGTGCCATCCACTTTGAAATGAAATTTAAATTTTTTAGGTGCCGAAAAAATAAAAAAATAAAAATTTCAAAACTTCACGAGAATAGCTTAAAATACCTGTGGCCATCCACTTTGAGTGAAATTTTAATTTTTTTATATGCCAAAAAAAATAAAAATAAGCAAAAAAGTAAAAATTTCAAAACTTTACAGAATGGCTTAAAATACCTGTGGCCACCCACTTTGAGCGAAATTTTATTTTTTTAGGTGCCGAAAAAAATAAAAAAAAGAAAAAAAGAAAAAATTTCAAAATTTCACAAAATGTCTTAGATACACGCGATCCACTTTAAGCGAAATTTAAATTTTTTAGGTACGAAAAAAAAAAAAAATAAAAAACTTCACATAATTGCTTAGAATACACATGTAGCCACCCACTTTGAGTGAAATTTAATTTTTTAGGTGTCGAAAAAAAAATAAAAATAAGCAAAAAAGAAAAATTTTCAAAACTTCACAGAGTGGCTTAGAATACATGTGGCCATCCACTTTGAGTGAAATTTAATTTTCTTTAGGAACCAAAAAAATAGAAAAAAAAAATCAAAAATACCATTTAGGCATCTAAAAAAAATTAAATTTTACTCAAAGTGGGGTGGCTAGAGGTATTGTAAGTCATTCTGTGAAGTTTTGAAATATTTGATTTTTTATGTTTTTTTCACCTAAAAAAATTTAAATTTCACTCAAAGTGGATGGCCACATGTATTCTAAGTCATTCTGTGAAGTTTTGAAAATTTTGATTTTTTGCTTTTTTTTCACCTCCAAAAATTAAAATTTCACTCAAAGTGAGTGGCCAGGTATTCTAAGCCATTCAGTAAAGTTTTGAAATTTTTGAGTTTTGAATTTTTTGGACCTTAAAAATTTAAATTTCACTTAAAGTGGTGGCATGTATTCTAAACTATTCGTGAAGTTTTGAAATTTTGATTTTTGATTTTTTGAAGACCTAAAAAATTTAAATTTCACTAAAAGTGGTGGCCAGGTATTCTAAGAATTCGTAAGTTTTGAAATTTTGATTTCTTGATTTTTTTTGAAAAAATTCAACAAATTTCCTATTTCCTGAAATCTAATTTTTTTTTATTTTCTCGACATTTTGATGATTTTTTCTAGAATTTTTCAATTTTTTGGGATTTTCTGAATTTTTTTAAAGATTTTTATGAATTTTTCGGATTTTTACGAAAACCGAACCGAACCGAACCGTTTGAACGTGTGCTTGCTCCGAACCAAAAGTCCACACGAACCAGATATGATCCGAACCAAAAACGCGATTCAGTTCGGTTCTTTTCGGTTCGGATCGGATCGATTTTCGGTTTTCCTTCTTGTTTTTTCTGCGCTTCTTCCCTTCGCACCCTCCACTTCCCGACCCAGCCCGGTGACATGGCCACGTTGTCCTCGAGCTCGCCGTCGCCCTCCGCCGCAGCCGCGAGCTTCCCCAAGTACAAGAGGCGGTGGTAGCCGAGAAGTCCGATGCGGCTTGCCGAGGCTGCTGCCGCCGCCACTCCTCTTCTTCTTCTTCATCGCAGCTCTGGCTCTCTGCAAGAAGCACCTGCAATTCCTCTTGCCGTACTCGCTCAACCACTCGTTGAAGCTCCCGACCAACCCGACCACCCTTCTTCTTCAAGTTAAAGGGTTTGAGGAGAGAGATTGCAGAGACGTGAGGGGCAGAAACAGGAGGGATCATGTGAAGTGATGGGGGCGAAACATCTCTTTAAAAGATCAAAGCCAACAAGCTTGCTGCAGCTGAAGAAGAGAGCGAAACAGTGCCTTTTGCTCTTTCTCTCTCCTTGGGATGCTGAATTATTGCAGAGGGAGAGAGAGATGTTCTGTGGCGTCGCTATCAGAAGGAGACGCAGAGAGAGAAAAGTGAGTGGGAAGAGAGAGAAAAGGTAGAGAAAGTTGCGGTTCAGAATCATGAACACATTGAACAGTGAGTGAGGAGAGAGGGTGTACGTGAAGGGAAGAAAATAAAAAAGAAACCGAAATTCGATCTGATCCGATCCGAACTGATCCGAACCAAACCGAATAATCAACTAACCGAATTTTCTTACTTATTATCCGAACTGACATCCGAACCGAACCGAAAATACATGAATTTTCGGATCGGTTCGGTTCGGTTTCGGTTCGGTTTTCGGTTCGGTTTCTGACACCCCTAGCTACAGGTATTCTAAGCAATTCTGTGAAGTTTTGAAATTTTTGATTTTTTGATTTTTTTTGAAAAAATTCAACAAATTTCCTATTTCCCGAAATCTAATTTTTTTTTATTTTCTCGACATTTTGATGATTTTTTCTAGAATTTTTCAATTTTTTGGGATTTTCTGAATTTTTTTAAAGATTTTTATGAATTTTTCGGATTTTTTTTTATTTTTATTCCATTTCTAAAAAAATGGATTTTTGTTCCTGGAAATAGAATTTTCTGTTATTTATCAAACGGGTTTTTATTTCAGGAAATATAAATTTTGTGCTGTTATCAAACGGGTTTCTGTTCTAGAAATAGAAATTTTTTGTCATTATCAAACGGGTTTTTTTTCTCAGAAACTCATCCAGAATCAGAAATAGAAAAATCTATTTCTGGTTCAGGAACTCATTCCGGAACAGAATGGTTATCATTCGCTACCTTAGAGTTTAGGATTTTTTTTTATCAAACACTTAAGGTTTTGTTCACATTTTCCTAATTTTTGTCAATAAATTTATGTCAATGAAGTTCACTTAGGGTTTAATTCACATTTTACTATTTTTTATCAATGAATTTATGATAATGAAGTTCACTTAGAGTTTAGTTCACATTTTATTAATTTTTTTAAAGAAAAAAATAACAAAAATATATATTAAATAGTCGGTCCGGTCCGGTCCGGTTCCCCTTGGGCAGGGAACCGGACCGCCAGAACCCGGTTCCGCTTTTAGGAACCGGAACCGACTGATAGTCCCGAGAATCGGACCAAACTCGTCAGTCCGGTCCGGTCCGGTCTGGTCCTGGTTTGGGCGGTCCAAGTTGCTCACCCCTAGAGGGAATGAACTATCCCTGTTCTTCTTGGTTTTCTCCATTATTTCTTGGCAAATTGAAAAAAAAAATGGAAAAGTCAAAAAAAAAAATCTCCAAATTATGTCTACCATGATACATTTATTTTTTTAACTTTTTTGTGCGACATTAGAAACTCCAAACCATACCCGTCGCGACACATTTACTCTGAACTTTTCCGATGACGTGGGAAAAAAATCTCAAATTTATACCTACGTGGAATATTTATTTTCCGTCGTTTTTATTTCAATTAAACCAAGTGGGTATTATGTCAATACTATTTACTTACTAGCGTTTAACTAAATAGATTTTTACCGATTCTCGTTGATAGAATTTTGACGGAGGAAGATATATCGTACAGTAACGAGATTTTTCTGTCACAGAAAAAAAAACATTAGAACAAACGTGCCATGACAGGAAATAGTCCAAAGTTTTTAGTAGAATTGCAGAAATGCGGAGAGCGAAGGGACTGAATGGCTTGCAAATGTCACACGCTCCTCCCACCTTATCCAACCACACAAAACTCTCCTCCTCTACACAGCATCTGCTCTTCTTCCTTCCTTATTCTTCTTCCTCTCTCCCGTGGATTCTCTCTCTCTCTCCTCCACCTCCTCTGCAAACCCAACATCAAGAACTCCTCAGTGAACTCCCCACCCACACCAGCACCAACAAGAACTAGACTCAGCCCATCAATGGCTTCTGCAACCACTAGACCCACCTTCTCCTTCCACCTCCCCTCCACCAACCCCAAAGTCACCCACCACCCCCACCACCACTCCCTCACCGCCACCCCCACCAGGACCCCCAAGAAGCTCCACCTCACGGCTAGGCCAAACCCGAACCCGAACCCGCCATTCCCGCTCCGCTCCATCGACGTCTCCAAAGAAGACAAGCCCACCTCCAGCCAGGAGCTGCCCGCCCCGGCCGCCGCCCCGCCCCCGCCGCCCGCTCCCCAGGTTCTGGAAAGCTCGCCCCCCGATGACCAGACGTTCGACAAGCGGCGCCTGGAGGAGAAGTTCGCGGTGCTGAACACGGGGATCTACGAGTGCAGGTCGTGCGGGTACAAGTACGACGAGTCGGTGGGGGACCCGTCGTACCCGATCCCGCCGGGCCTGCCGTTCGCGCAGATGCCGGAGGACTGGAGGTGCCCCACGTGCGGGGCGGCCAAGAGCTTCTTCGTGAGCAAGAGCGTCGAGATCGCGGGGTTCGCGGAGAACCAGCAGTACGGGCTCGGCGGCAACTCCCTCACCTCCGGCCAGAAGGCGGTGCTGATCTACGGCAGCTTGTTCCTCTTCTTCGTCCTCTTCTTGTCCGGCTACTTCTTGCAATGAGTCCGAAAAGTGAATTCGGGGGTTTGCTGGTTTTTGTAGTGACTTCGCTCTTCTTCTTCTCCTCGTTTTGGGGGTTAAGAGAGACCATTGTATGTTTGTGCAAAAAAATATAGAATTGGAAGAGTTTACTAAGAGTTGGGCAATCGTGCTGCTCGCACTGTTATATATAGCCGTTCTAAGTTGGTAAGTTGAGCTCAAACTTGTTGATGTTGGAACCGTAACTGAGAATTTCATCTCGTACAGCTCAAACAAACACCCAAAATATTGCTTTGATTTCAAAGCATATGAATTCGACAGAGAGAGGACTTACTTGATCCATGATTTGTGTTTTGATCTAACAATCACAAATTCGAAAGCTAATGATAAAAAAATGAGTGGCCAAAACGGGGTAATTTAGCTCAAAACTCAAATTATATTATTAGATTCATTCGATTTCGAACCCATAGCTGATGATAGAACTAGGTTCTTTTAGGGTTATAGTTGATGGTTCTTTCTCGGTTTTCAAATACCCATGGATCCGGTCTTTACTAACTGGCTTCATATAATTCAGACACTCGTTTCGAGCAGCGGAATGCAGAGACTACCCGACTAGGCTGATGTTCCGGCTAGTTGGCTCTTAACAGCTAAGGTGACTCGCGATCTCATTGTATCATCTTACAAGTGCCCAGTAAAGATCAAATGCATCTATCACACAAGGCTAATCTTCCAAAGACTAGAGGACTTTCGACTGTAACGGGACACAGCCGCAAGTCGAGAAGTGTCTCTGCTTGCAATTCTAGGGGTTTAAAGAGAATTGCAAAGTGTTTTCACTTCCCTGTGGCGTTTAGGCAAAAGCCAAGTCAAAGAGACATAAACCATCCACTGTCAACTACTTGCCCATCGATCCCGATTTCCCAACAACACCGCAGATGATCTGCAATTTTGCTGATTATAATAACCCTAGAACCACCATCCCTGAAAATGAATAATAGACAACAGTATTTTACAACCCTGGAGAACTAACTAAATCCTATAGATGACCATCACCTGCACGTATGATGCAGTAGTGCCGTCCAACAGCCAAGAAATCTCCGGTCCTGTCGTGAGCAGGAGTGCCTCCTCCGCAGCAGTTACGGAGTGCTGATTATAAATATAGATCTCTGGCAGAATAAGTAGAGGTTGGTCGAGTTTCTGTATCCACAATTGCCTCAAGGAATCAATCAGCGGGTGATTTTCTCAGAATTACCCGGCCAGGAAGTGGTGCGAGAACTGGAGTTTGCGAGGCTTGATATCCCATTAAGCTGAAGGATTCCACAGTTCTCGCTGGTTTAGACATGTTTCGTGAAACACTGTCGCTTCGTTGAAGACAGACCATTGAGATGCCAAGGAACTTTATGGAGGAGGAAGATCATATACGTTTTGACTAGATGGCTGGTTTTCCATACCTGACATCTCATTTGACACCCGTGTCTTCACCTGATAGACCAATTTTACCTGCTTCTCTGATGCTCCTCCAGCAACAGCTCCTTGTCGTTCCCTATGTACTCCATTTCCAGCACTCGCTTTCTTGATCCATTTGGTGGGTGGAGGTGGCGGTGGGCCCGCATTTTGCATAGCCTGCTCGGGTGTGAGTGAAGAATGCCCAGGATTGGGGGTCCTTAGTAACATAGGGACATTTTGTATAATTTTGACACTTTCTTCGATTGCCAAAGCAGACATTCCATTCCTCAAATTCCTATACTGCTCTTGATTTTGAGACCTATCCATTGTCCTCGCATTCTGTTTGCTTCCTTGCCAACCATTTGATGAAGGTGGATATCTCGAATTACCAACCGTGCCTTGATTGGAGTTGTGATTCCCATAGTACTGGTGAGGATCTTCACTGAAGCCCCTTTCGTACCCAGAGGGACCAGCCGGTCTCGGTCTATTAACTGCATAATATCCCGGAAAGTTTCGATTGCGTGGTGGTTCCAAGATGCCAGAGGATTGATTGTTGTTGAACTTGATATTTAGTGTACTCTTGACAAGACGATGAGCTGCTTCTCCCAGCATTGGACCGACCATTGCTCCAGGTACTGATGGCCTGCAAGAATACAAGCACTGCATTTAGATGGGGAGAGAAAAAAAAGAAGCGTCTCTAAACAGAAACAACAGGGGAAAAGGTTCTCCAAAGATTCCACAAACACACTCAATAGCCTGCAGGAGTAACCAATTTTTTTTTCCAATATGTCCCTGGTTTCAAGTTCATTCTCAACTGCAAAATCTATCGCACCACAAGTCTCTAAATTGATACAAACCATCAATCCAGCAGCAGAAACACAAAACAAACGGACAGATATATCAACCGAGATAGCAAGACAATCAGAATTCATTCTCACCTTTCTCTTCCATTGTGGCGCCTACCACTGTTATCTTCATGCCATAACACAGGGAATGGCTTGATATCCAAAGGTCCTAAAACCTATAAAAGCGAACAAGTGAGCCATTTATTTTCTTGTCACGACATCCAATATAAAGAGACCTAAACATTAATTTGGAAAAGGTTCTCCTATATGAAATAACCCGCGCTTTTCAACCGTATTGATATTTCATAGAAATGTCGAAAGGGCAAAAGCCTCATGTAACATCAAACACAAAGCCCTACATAATGCACATAACGTTTTTCCAATTATATTGTATACATTGAGAACAAAATACAAATATTTGCTTTTAGATTAACATATATGAACCAGTAAGAGCATCATGTACCTTCGGAGGAATGACAACGCCATCAGGCGGTCTAGGGATGTGCTTGTGGTTTGGAGGATTGAGATAAGTAACATTACTGTAAAGCAACAGGGATTGTGAATAATTCGAGTTTGTCGCACAAGAATTACAAAAGCAAATAAGAAACTTACTATATTTGATTGTTCACAATATCCTCCAATCCATGGACAGGCGAAGGAATTACATTGGTCAGTGCATTCCTCTCACTTAGCCAGAGGTATCCGTTCATTCCACCGCTGTAAAAGATTCGCAAAAAATGAATGCAGCAGAATATAAAGTTACCCAATGGCAGCCTCGAAAAATTTACACATGAAATTCTATGCAAGAAACAGGTTTACTGACCTAACATTTGTGTCAATCGGAACAGGATATCTTTCATATGGCCCTAAATGGTAGCTTAATTGGTAGCACAAATAAACTTGTACTGACAAAGGATGAACCCCATGAACATAGAGCAAATCCAACATCACACTATTTCGAAGTTGCTCCTCCTTCTATACCAACCAAGTCAAACAGTAAGCATTCTCGAGCATCATGAGACAGAAAATTGAATTTACAGAGGAGTTGCAGATAACAATGCCACCTAAGAAAATCATGAGCTGATGTTTGAAAAAAAGAAAGTCAAAAGGCAGAAACAGCATCGATGACTCTTGGAGTTCAACAAGGTCAGCCTACAAAATTCCACCTCCATAGAACATGACACTCCTTGCCACAACCCTAAGCTAAGCTCAGTATTGATCAAGTAATGGTCTCCAAATAAGTAGGAAAATATCCTTACCACAATATTAACAAACAGTGAAGCATGGAAGCGCTATTAAAAGGCTTTATCAAAACATTTTCATTCGACCACACATGTTTAGTATCCCTGGACCAAAAACTCAGAATGCGCACTCATTAAAGAAACTCATTTATCCAATATGAGTCTTGCAAAAGAGCATCTTGAATAAATGTTAATACACAATAGAAAATGTCAAAGTTCAAGAAAGATAGAAAGAAGCTATGACAGTCCAGTCAGGTGAAGAAAAATAAAATTCAAGATAAGAATTTTCTCACTGTTAAAGAGACTTCTAGTTTCCTCGTTTCAGTGAGCAATTTCTTCTCGTCGATGAACGGCAATTTGGCAACACCCTGATTCAAGAAAGATATACTTTACATTATTCACACACGATAGCCACAGCAAGAACAATGTCGGGACAAGTTAGACCATACCTGCCATGCGAATTTCTTTCCATTCATGTCAATCTCGAAATCTGTCAACATAATAACAAGGAAAAGTTGTGAGAGAGAGACAGAGAGAGAGAGACAGAGAATTCCATCGATAAGCATCGCCTGCTCCTGCTTAGTATACCTGAAGGATAAAAGTCAAGGATTGGTGAGGAAGGATCCGTCATCAATTTCCTGTACTGTTCTGGCAGAGCACTTGCGCTGCAACACCAGATATGAGCTGTCTAAGCAGAAAATATTAAGTACAAAAAGGACTCGTATAACGGTCCTCAACATTATGAAAAGCAGAATAAAACAAAAAGAAACCTTGCAGATGGTAAGGTTCCCATGAGCTGATCAAATGGTTTAAAAGGCTCTCCCAAGAAGAATGTGATCTCCAGAACAGCTAAATCCTTGAGATCAGAAGCAAAGGGAGCATAATGGAATGGATAGTACCTGAACGAGCATGTATGCAACTTACAATAATTCAGATATAAAAAAAAAAACTAATAAACAACTAGCGTAGCATGACAAACCAAATTGCAACTGATGTTAACAGTAGCATTGACAGTAACGAAATCGTAGTGTGGTAGGTCGATACATTTTGAGTAAAGCTACCCAGAAAATGGAGCATGCAGGATTCATCTGACTAAACAAAATAACATCCCAGCAGTAGGTCTTCAGAGTATTGTCCACTATGCACAGTTTACAAGCGCGTTCTAAGGCAATGGAATCAGATAATTGCTTTTAAAGGCATGTAAAGATGGATCAGTATTGTTTCATGCAGACCTTACTGGTAAAACTCACCATTGCCAGGATCGAACGCCTTGGAAATAATACCAACAGACCCAACATAAACCTTCCACATATTTCAAAACCTACAAAGCAGAATTGCCATCAGCCATTAACCTCGATACAAAGCTGCAGTTGTAATAGTTAGAGAGGCAGGAAAATACTAGCAATCTAGAACTTCACGAACAAGAGAAATCAACAGTTATCCAGGGGCAAATGTACTGAGGAGGCCACGCAATCTAGAAGAGGAACTGCGGTGAAACTGAAGCATCTAACAACAAGGAAGTCATCCAATTAATAAGTCCGTGACATATATTTACAATGCTTAAGAGGTAGGAAAATACTAGCAATCTAGAACTTCATGAACGAGAGAAATTATCAGTTATCCAAGGGCAACTGAAGCTTCTGACAATGAGAAGTCCATGACACATATTTACAATAGATAGCTACCGTCAACATGAAAAATCCCAGTGATTATTATACCCACAAAAATATCAAGCCACAAGGAAGCTCCCACTCTTTTCTATTACCATCAAATTTGGCACCTAGTGGCATATGGATTTGAACCATGCACAGACCAACTCAACTACATAAGGAACTACCTGAAATACTTCAAAACATCTATTTACTATATTAGGATCCAGATAGTACCAGCTTAGTTCACCAAAAACACTTTTGAACAAATGATGGAGCCAGAATGTTCAAGCTTAGTTCCTCAAATCCTTGGAGTCAGAACATTCTAGCTTAGTTGACCAATACCCTTTCGCGCGACAATAGAAAGAAAAGCCAATGCCCTAATATCAACATTTCTTCCATTTATCTAACTGTCATATTTAAAATTGTCTCAGATAAGCAGAAAAATAAATTAGCCTCGTTCAAAGTCCAAATGCAGTTGACTAAATGCTATTCAGATCCTTTTCCCATAGAAATCACCAAGCAAAACGTTGGCTGTGAAAACTATCGGGTACACTACTAGATAAATCAATCCCCACAAGAAGGAACACTTCATACAGAACTTCCACATCCACACAGATTTGCAATTCAAGTAAACATCTAAATGTAAAGGTACTGCTATTAAGACATTCAGAGTCTGAAGACTGCTCTAGTCTGAAGACTGCTCTACTCTCCAAACAAACTAAATCCATGTTACAGAAATTAAAATCAAGCATAGTAAGCACAGAACACTTCAAAACATATAAATTCTAAGTTACCAAGACAATATAAAACCAAAATAATTACGAGAAATAATACTGATATTAAATAAAGTAAACTGAAAGCTTCAAGATACAAAAAAACAAGTACCGTTTCCTTCTTAACTCTCTCTATCTCATCCGGAGTTGACACATGAAATTTCTCTGCATAATACCTTTCCTTGTATCCAGGCTCCCCTAATCTAACCTGGCTTCAAATAATAGTGTATCAAATTTAAGAATTGATTATTCAGCATGTAAAGCTTCTCATGTTTTACTTTGAGATATTAATAATGTGACTGACAATGGATATAACTCATCCACAAGAATAACATATCAAAAGTCAAATTTCTCAATTTGTGTGGCCACTCAGAAATGTAAAAGATAGATCATTCTCTTCAAAACATTTAAAAATTAGCATCTTTACTCGCAACATTTCCACTTGAGAACATACAATAAAAGGAATCACAGTTCAATTGTACAACATGTGAAACTTAGCTTCTCCCATCTGCTTTTCCAAAAAAAAAAAAAAGACACAAGAAAAGATGAACGTAGGAAAAACGCTATCCCCCCCCCCCCCCAAAAAAAAAAAGTAGCATCAATACCATTCAAGCTCATGTATGGTACACACTGGACTCCATAAAATTTTCACTCATCACAGAAGATTATCGTTTCGGTTAGACAGCGCAAGAATTAAATAATGCTATGAACAGAGAGTGGGAGTAACCAAAGCCATGAAGATACAAAAGGAGCCACTTAAAGATTAATTCATTCAACTAGTTAAGTGCTCATCTTTTGACCGCACCTAATCTCTTCATTAAATCCAAACGTCCAATCAGAGAACTAAATTAAACTCCCGCCCAAACAAAACTGCATCATCATTATTCATTACAGAAATCATGACTTGCCACATTTCAATTGCCTTTGATCAACAGAAAGTGCAAAACAGAAGATATTCACGTACCACACACGTTAAGGTGAAATCAACTCTTTGCATACCTTGTCAATAGCTGGACTTTGTAATTCTTCCGATGACTCTCTTCTTGATCTAGATCTCATTTCTTCATTATTCTCTAGTGCCTAGAGAAATGTCGAGCTCAAAGTTAATTAGGACTGAATGATGGCGTTTGTACTCACTAGTCCATACTAAAAGTGTCACATGCTTCAATTGTTCACGAGTCCTGAACAGCTATTTTCAATGGAATTAGAAAAAAAAAAAAAAACTATTTCCACTCCACTTGTTCCACGAATAACACCAAAAGAAGCTGAAAGCATTTGGATCATTCTTCAAATTCTCCATCACATGCTGCATTACAAAGAGATTGAATTTATAGCATTCACCAATGACCAAAAATATCAAAAGGTACCTGCTGTATGCGAGCCCGCTTTTGAAAAATTTGATCTTCATGAACAGCAACAGATTGGATAAAATGTTCTACTCTGTCTAACAAGACCTGAACATTAGAAAGAAATTAAACTCCTCATCAAAGACTGTCAATACGTTAAATTTTACAAGAAATGAATAGACTCATGGATTCACACAACCATCACAAACTACGTAGTGTTGGATTTTCTACCAAAACCAAAAAAGAAATCATGAAAGGACAGACTCTGCATGCACTAACTGATTCAAGATTTTTAGTAAATAATATCAAATTTGCCAGAGTTAAAACAAAAATATAAGCAAAAGCCCATAAAAGTAAATGTCTCTCCAAAATCATACTGACAGCAGATAGTATTAGCAGCTAAATATTACAAGAAAAGCCTTGTGGAAAGCACATTTTAAAGAAGAAATAAGCTCTTCAACAAACAATAACTTATCACCCAAAAAACTAGAATTAGAGCAACCAACTCACGAAATCATCATCCCACCACAATATTACCCAACCGGAAACTGCATATCAAAGGATGCCTAATGAAATCTACCTCGCCTGCTTCAGTAAGGTAACCTCCCATGGCAGCGAACTCCCTCCTATAAACCAACATTAGTAAACTGATAGCACCCTGAAGAAACAGAAAGATCCACAATGAACATTCTAAGTCCACATAAATAGTGAGCACACAGAATAAACCAAGCAAAACCACCAGGTTAGTATGAAATCGTGTCTGTGTTAGGCAAAAAGCTGTAAACATCTAAGGTCGTGATTGTTGGTACTCAGAATAGCGATCAAACGAACTAGATGTGACATACCTCCCTAATCTCCAATGTAGGCATATGTGGAAGGAAGTCATTGCCAACGAAGAAACATAGGAATACAAAATCATCCACTATCCTTTCAAAATCAATCTCAAACGGAGGGTCCGGAATGTCCAGATCATGCTGCAAGTACTCCCGCAGTACCCAAATGTTGAGGAACTGCCACATTACAAACAGTCACGCAAAAGAAAGGCAGGGAGAAGGAGCATGAACATGAAATCAGAGTTCAACAAACCTGATATTTCTTCTTGTGGATGGGAATATCATTTACCATTTCATTACCAGCCTTGCCACGACATTCAGCAGCCAGATGACCCACTTGGCCGCACTGAAAACACTTTTCCTGTTGTCCTGGGAAAGTGACCACCTGCAGATTTATTGAAAAAAGAAAAAAGCCAGAAAATGAGATCCTGCTGAATCCCACAACCCATAATGGAAAATTGGATAATCTATATACCTCTCTGAGAATTGAAAAGTGAATCTCATGTGTTGCTAATGAAAGCATAATCAGGTCAGCATCCTGATTACAGTGAACCATATTAGATAATCGACGCATAGTAACTCAGAGGAATCTAAAGTAACCAGCTGAGAAGAGGGAAAGCTACTACTACAGAGGCAGAGTGCAAAACAAATATTTACCAGGCCATAAAGACAATGCCGAGTGTTCGGATCAAAACCAGGACGGTTCCTTTGCAATCGTATATATGACATAATCTTGTGCTCTCCTTCCCCAGGAACATTTGCATCAGAAAGCATAACCTTCAAGAATCATCCAATGCAGCCGCATAAATAAATTTAGACAGAAAGAATCCTGAAAACAGAGTTTTACCCCAGTAGAGATGAATTACTCCATGGGCCAGGAATTCTCCAATGTCAAAGGTACTAAGAAAGCAAGTGCAAAATAAGATGTCGCCCAAACCTTTGTCTGCTGCCAGCCAGGATAATGATTTAATCTCACTTGTATATAATATTGAAGTGCGACAGAAAGAACTGCCATGAATTGTGTGCCAGGAGTAATGACATTAGAGTCGCATGTTTCTGGCTTTTCCTTGGGAGCAAGAATTTGTCCCTCAGCCTCAAATTCTTTCCTCAACCGTTCCTCTTCAGCTTCCTGCTTGATCGAAGTAGAGATCAAAATCTTCCAAACAATGTGATCATCATAATTATAACGGCAACTTGAGAAATCTTACCGCATCAGCTGCATCTTTTGCAGCCCTAAAACGCCGAGAACGCTGTTGGTTCATTTTAGCTCTTGGCGCGACTCCATCTGCATATTTTTCAGTTAGATTAATCTGCGTGGTTGATATGGAGGCTAATACAATACCGAAGCTTACCCACTGCCAGGTAAAGAAGCTTTCTAGGACGAACCATTGAGTAGACATGATCAATATAATCAAATATTGCCTTAAAGACGTCATCGTAGCTAGAAGGAGGAGGCTGCACAATCACATAAATTTAACATCAGAGGAATTCTACAAGGAAGTAAAACGCAGATGATACATCGAGACAAAAATATATTGCAAAGTCTTAACTCAGGGGGCAAGATAAAGAAATTTTACACGTGAAGCTTCATATATGGTAGTATAATATTTACTATAACGTACGCCGTGTGCCCAGGGGCATTAGCTCTCACTAATTCCCACCTTAGGTCGGTCATTGCTACAACCTGCTTTACTTAGCACAGAAGAATCCCGACAACGCTAAATTACATTTCCTAGCGAACGTGGCTACTGCAAACCCTTCGCATCCCCGAAGCATCAAAGTTTGCAGCCCTCAGTTCCAACTACTCTCTCTCTCCCTCATTTCGTCACTCAAAATACAAATAAAAGCGAAAATCGCCAGAACCGCGCAGAAGCATCCATCCGCCAGCACAAACCTAACATCCGCCGACATCTCACCTCAATCATAAGCATCCCCAAGCACTATATCCACGCGAAGCCAATCTCTCTCTCCCGGCACATTCCACAAAATAAACTCGCACGCACACCTAACGCACGGCATGACAAGACTCAATTTTGAACATTCACCCTCCTACCCTCTTAGAAAAACGATCAACCGCACTATTCATCTCAACATCTAGTCGACCCCCGCCAAAAGGAAAAACCTTTCGACAATTCCAGCTCAAGACCGCCCGAAATTCACGCGAAACCCGAGAACACAAGCCGCGGCGCGGCGGCCGAAGGGGGAGAAACGCGAACGTACCCTGCCCTCGGGGTGGAAGCAAGGATGGATGATCCCGTTCATGTCGAGGTACAGGTTGTCGAACTCCATCCCGTTAGGGTTGGGCCTCGAGGGGTCGATCGGCCGGGCGACGCCGCCGGAGTCGACGAGCGGCTCCTCCTCGACGACGTCGGCGATCGAGCTCGGGTACCGATCGGCGAGCCACCGGTAGAAGGCGGGGACGCCCATGGCGGTGCGGCGCCGGTCTTCTTCGGGCCGGATGGGGAGCCCCGCTTCGCTCTAGCGAGTCAACACGGCGAGAGAGAAGAGAGGAGAGAAGAGAACGAAGGAAGGAATTGAGACGGTTCGAGATCTGGATATGGGCGGTGATGGCGGCGCGAGGGTGGGTCAAAGGTGGTGCGGGGAGGGGCGAGGACTGTCGACGTGGCACCCGTGGGGGTCGGTGATTTGGGGTCTGTTTGGCTGCTCGGACCTGGATGTTCTTGGATTGCGAGACATATACATTGAGGTGGTCCCGAGCAAAACCATAAAAAGGCTCGAGGAGAGATAGAGAAAGGAACTCCTCGCCCCGGTATGGCGGAGGGCTCTTTGTGTAAGTTCTCTCCTTATTCCTTTTCTCCGGGGAAGAAATACAACGGGAGTGACTTAAGGGCTTGTGGATGGGGGAGGTAAAATTCACGTCAGTTTCGGCCGGGTACCGTCGGGTAGGCAAATATAGTAGCCTAGCCTCCCGCATCTACAATGACACCGAGGACCTCTACTCTCGCTTGGTTGGCCTGTGCTTCGCACAATGACTTGTAACTGCCTTGCCAAGCAAGTACCACTGGTTACAAGTCACTATGTTGGACTTTGATTCCCACGAATTAACTCGGCTCGAAATATCGTCCGTCACAGCGCGTCTCATACTGAATCTCGTGATTTCATCATTTGGCCTGCATGCAGCCGGTCGTAATTACTTCTGTTAGGCAAGATACATGTCATGTAGCAATCCTCGGACCATTTCACAAACGATCAACTAACGAGATGTTTTTAAGAGAACGTTTATTATGTAATTTCAAATAACCATAATGTAGTAAATGCCCGATTTGGCTTTATGCATCGAATATATTCTAAAATACTTGACTTAACTAAGCTTATTCGGTATGAAATGACCGACATTCCTTTGAAAAGCTGCTCAAAATAAGGGAAAGCTTGTTATCCACCGTGTAAAGTGACATCTTGTACACCGAAACTTAAACGGCTCATTTAAACACTCGTAACGATTGTTTCAAGTGGGCCCGAAGTCATTTTGGAGACATCCAAAATTACATGAGACCGTACCATTCATTTTCAATCTCCTATAGGGACACAGTACGACAAGGGTGGGAGTATCAACTGGGACAAGAGGGCTTGGAGAAGGAACGTCTCTCGATAGGCTCCAGGATATTGAAGGGGAGAATAAAACAATGGCATGCCTATAAGTAGGATACCGTTCTTGAATTATATATATATATATATATATATATATATATATATATATAAACTCGTAAGAGGCATCTTTTGATGTAATGACAATATTTATCATCGGAAATTTAATGTTTAGCATGTCCAAGCAAGAGCACTAATAAGATAGGTGATCTTTTCGAGAGAGTGCCTACTTGTACGCCCAATGATAAAATGGCAAGGCCCAAATATAAGATTGGTCAAAATAAACAATACCCAAAATAAGTAAATCCATAGATTTCACAAATGGTAACAGAGTGGGACCCCTCAATATGGGTTAATGAAGAATGGGACTTACGTTACCGGTCTTTTACATTTAAGAAGCGATATTCTCACATAATTCCTGAAATGAGGCCACCGAATAATAATTTGAGTTTGACATCTCCGATGAAATCTTCAATATAATCCTAGATAATGCCAATGCAAGCACCTCCCTAATCTGTCATCTAGTCTAACAGCCAAATCTCGCTTGCAATAGGATTTTCTTCCATTTGCGATATGTGTGCCATTGTATTAACTTGTGTGTGCTAGATGGCCTCTAACAGTGATAATTCTGTGGCTAACATACATGGGAGGGTTCAATGCATTAGATTCGCCTTATTGGGGCATCAAGAGTTGGAGGTTCTGTACATGACACAAGTAAGACTTGCTAAAAAAATTTCCTTTGGACATAAGAAAGAGGTGCACTTCAACGTACAAGATTGACATTTGAGGAGATGGGTATGCTGAAGCTTTACTCTACCACTCATAGCAGAAGTGCCGGTCTCCAGCCACAGCCCAACAAGATTGGAGGGTTGCTAAAGTTTTTAGCAATTTCTTTCAGGTTTTTTCAGTGATACGATCGATGTTTTGAGTACCAACGATTATCCATCAAGCAATCGTGCCTTTCTGTTTTTATACCTCATGCCAGTTGAATTGACGAACAAGGAGGATGATTCCTTCTTTGATAAAGTATAAGAGCCCATTAATGTGAAATTCCTCAAATATTACAAGGACATTCCGCTTTGTTCTTTTGCAGTCATAGTCATTGCTTCAAGGTTCAAGTTGGAGGGGCTCGAAACTCTCATTGTTCCATAATATACAAAGTTGTCACTAGCTGACGAGGTCCACGGGCAACACATAATTACAATGGCAATGAGTTGGCCCCGAAATATATACGCTACATAAGTCGGTCGATTCGATGTGACGAGCATTAAACCATGGACGGAGAACTTGCCCTCATAGATGTAGTCTGTGCTGGGCAAGAAAAACACCCCAAAGCCTTCCACTAGGTCTTCGGCTTCATCTGCTAATAAGTTGGAGACCTACTGGGGAATAGAACAACCCAATCCACTGATAGAGAGTTTGTGAAAATGACGTCGACATTTGGAAACAATGGTTTGAGATAGTGGAAGAGGCGAGCCACCACTTTTGAAATTCTCTCCACCATGGCTCGCGACTTACTCACTCCACCAGTATCTGCAGTACCACTGGAGTTTCATGTTCCACACTAGCCAACAATTCTTGGAAGATAATAGTTCCAAGCCTGTCCAATTGAAAAAAATTAGCAATGATTGTTGAATGGCGTGAATGGTTTTTGCAAGAATTGACTCCATGAGAACGTGCCTAACGTGAATAAGAGGACAACGACGACATTGTCTCGTGCGAATTATGCCGAGGAATCGGTTTAAGCGCACTTCAAATTATTTGAAAATCTACTTGTGATTGCAATACGGTTTTAATGAATGACAGTTCCCCATTAATTTTTCTCAATTGATTTCTTTGTTATTTCTAATATTTTTTAAAAAATGATTCTTTCAATCTTTTTCGGAATGAATAATTAGCACATTAATTTTTTTTTAAATTATCATGCTCGGGCCTGGCAGGTGGACCGCAGGGCCCGTTGCCCAGTGCTAGGCCCGAGAACCAGCCTGACCTGCTTCGGGCCGCGTAATTTTGCACCGGTCCAGGTTTTGGGGCTACCGGTTTTTTCCTTGCATCCCTAACTTTCACCATCCAACTTGTAGTCGCATCGTGATTAGGTGGTGATATCCAATTCAAATTAACTGCGCTTAATTTATAGAAAATCAAGATTTGAGAAAATTTTCCGAAAAATAATTAGTTATGTCGCTTTGAAATATTAGTCAATTGAAACTATTTTCATTGTCAACGTCAATTTATATCTAACTATTTCGGTGGATGATAAATATATTTTCATTCGTTCATTATTTTTCAAATCTTAAATTTTCCATGAAAAAAATGCACCGAAAAGTTTAAGACCATCTTTCTTTAAAACGACTAGCTTGGAAATTGTCCATTGGGCCGAGCTACTGGCTATCGGCCTGCACGCTTCTTTTCGGCCCAACATTTGTGTTTACCATGCCTGGCAACTTGCAAAAAACCGGCTGGTGATTTTGAAATTATTATTTCGAAAAAAAATAATTTGGTCTTTTTATTATTTCAGAAAAATTAAATTCTTATAATTTTGAAATTAGTAATTTCTTTGCAATGATAAAAATGCCTGAAAATATTCGAAATTTTTACCGATCATTGTGATTTAGTCCTTTTGTTATTTTAGAAAAATTAAGTTCTTCTAATGTTAAAATGATTAATTTTTACAAAATAATAGAAATGTTCACAACTATTTGAATTTCTACCGATCATTGCCGATAAGTGATGATGATAGTCCTTCGTTGCACAAACGATCTGTGAACTCTGGATCTCTCGAGTCTGTACCGGGCGGGTTTTGAGAGATGTGATTTTAGGACGCGTTTGTTTCGGGGAAAATGAATGATTTGAAAAATATTTTCCTTCAAATGATCGCTCGTATTGCTCTAATGTTTAGACATAAATCTTTATTGATAGTGTAAATATTTTCCATTGACGTAAGTAATATAATCAATAAGCAATATAATCAATCAATCATGTGGGACCAATTATGGAGTGATATAACCTAATTTGGACCAGCGGCATTAGCAAACACAATCTTATCAGTTGGCTAGTTTGCATAGATAGACTACCTACAATAGGGATTGTCACACAGTGGATGCCTTCAGTTGATATCTAGTGTAATTTCTAAAAGGTCGATATTAAAGAAAGAACACATTTGTTCTTCTAATGCGAGTGGACAAGCAGCACATGACGTTGTATCCTAGCAAAACATGGGATTAGGTGCCCTTGTAAGAGGATAGAATGAGGAACTTCAATGGATGATTAGGGCAACAAAGGGTAAAGACTTGGCGGCAAGACTCCTCAAGTTGTCCTTCCTAGCCATGATATATTACATTTGGATGAGCACAACAGAAAACGGTTTCAAAACAAGACAATTGGCTTCCATATTTCTTTGGTTAAGGTATATAAAAATGTTAGAGGTAGAGCTTTGCTCTACCAAAAAATAAGACCTTCCTAGATAAATGTTGTATTAGCTACTATATATTCCCAAACAATATATTCCTAAGATGTTGTACTTCATCTGATTTTTTCTTTTGGTCTGAAAAATGCTTTTATTTTATCTGATTTATAATACTTACATTCACACCAAAAAAAGTAACATAATCAATTATTTTTAGGAAGAATATTTTTTAGATTATTCATTTTTCTGTAAAACAAATGGCGCCTTAACCTATACGGTTATTTTTAAGCCTCGATTTGCAATTATTTATTTAACCAATCTTTACTCCCAAAAATAAGTACAAGAGGACCACCTCCTAGGATGGCAAGATGAATGTAGACGTCTAACCGGCCACGTTCACCTTAGTCTCTTTCTCCGGTACGCAAATGATGTAATGCTCGAGTTTGCCAGTCAAACTTTTTTTTTTCTTTTTTTTTTTGGTCGTGGCTATTAATAAAAAAAAACAAAAATAGAGAGAATAGAGCGGACTTCTCCTGTATTTTCATGAATATATTAATACGTCGAAATTTTCTTGACTAAATACAATATTCTATAAAATTGCAATAATTCCGGACAATCAATTTGTTCCAATCAAACTGCCGGGACGATAATCTGTGATACAGGGGAGTGAATTTTCCGTAACTTCTTTCGTTCCACCACGGCCTTTGTGATTTCGACATTATACTTGTAACCATCATCGATGTTGAAAGGTCGGTTCAATAATTATTATGGTCGACCGAGGGGCTTGGTTGAAAAAAATTATATAATTCGAAGTCTCCATTGCGCAAAACCACAAAGTTAATAGCAATACGTTGACCAACAGTCGAGATTATTCAGGTCGTCACCTTCGCCGTATTACTTTACCCAGGAGTCGACATTATCGCAGTTCGCAAGGAAGATCATCTGGAGCTCGCGTTCAGAGCTTCTCTCTTCATTGCTTCTTCTTCTCTGAGAAGGTAAAAATCTCCTCCTGACGAATCTGACCCCTCTCTCGGCCGCCAGGAACGCAGGTCGCAAGCTCGCTGTCTCATTGCTCTATGTTTCTTTTTCTTTCTTTGGGTCGAAGATTTGTTGTTCGTCGGAAAAACTTGCACCGCTTGATGTAACAGTGTGTTCAGATACAGGACCGTCTAGATTAATGTAGAAATTTTGTAAAGCTCTGATACCATATTAAATTTTTGAGAATTTTGCGGAAGTATGGTGTGATATCGATGATAGTTTGTAGTTTTTGTGATGTGTGCAAATGTCTGTGTAGTATATTTGGTAGGGGATGGAATGATACAAGCCTATTTATAGGCCATCTCAACCGACTCTAGAGACTTATGCCGACTCATATTCTTATCCTCTAAGTATACTTCTTTCCTAAGCACGTGTAGACTAGTTTGTTCTAGGATTTTCCAAGTTCTTGACTTTGTCCACCGACTTCTGCTGCTTGCTTTTTCTTGCTGCTCACGTCCATCTAGAGTAGTCTAGATTAGACTAGAGATTTCTTTATAAAAAATGGATCGCAATTTCCAACAATTAAACTATCTGTTTCGCTTTGGAGAGATGGAACCCTTCGCCGATTCGCAGCAAACCATGCGGCTCGATTGCACTAGCGTTCGCGTGTTTGTTTGTTTGTTTGTTTTTGTGTATTTGGAACTGAAGTGCATGCGGTGTGTCCCGTCTCGTCTTCGAGCTTGTTCCTGTTCTCTTTTGCTGCTGAAGAAAAGCTTCGCATGCAAGTTTTCTCTCTGTGCTCGCTCTTTCTTGCTTTGACACTGTGCGCGCACTGAGTTTTGTGAGGGGCCCAGTACTGCGTTCTGTGTGCGTGCTCTTTACACGCGCGCGTTCTACGCAAGCTCGCGTCGAAGTTCTCATCAGTGTCAAATCGCTTCGTACTATGATGCTCGCTCACATGCTGATTTGGTTGGAGGCACGATTTTGTGGCGATTCACGCAAAAATGGCTAGCAACTACTTTGCTTCCTTCTAAAAATAAAGATCTACCTACTTTATTTATAAGAATCAAATCGTGTTTCTCTCTCTTATGCTTTGGTGCTGAGAGAAGTGGCTGTTTCAGATTGTGCAGTGACGAACATGGCTGAAGGGAGCTCCCTTATCGCGAAAGATGTCACGGAGGTAAGCAGTGTTGTATCCCCTTTAGCACCATTCGTGTGAATAGCTGCTAGTGCTGTATCCTGATCGAATGCTGTTTCTTCTGCAGATAATTGGCAAGACGCCCCTAGTGTACCTCAACCATGTGGTGGAGGGTTGTGTTGCCCGAATTGCTGCGAAGCTCGAAATGATGGAGCCCTGCTCAAGTGTCAAAGACAGGTTTGTGATTGGAATTTGAATGCTGTATTGTTCGTCTCCAGTCAAATTACAGATGCCTCGTGATGCTAGGGGGTTGGCACTTGTCGAAAGAAGCATGAATTCAATCGCCATCCCTGGTCTATATATTATTGTATGGATGAAAACAATTTCTTCAGGGATGTGATTTGCTCTGATGAATTGCAATCACAGCCAATGCCTTTGTCCTTGCTTGTAGGATTGGATATAGCATGATTGCAGATGCTGAGGAAAAGGGTCTCATTAAACCGGGAGAGGTTAGCTTTAGCTGTTCAAGTTTCTTCATGTAGACCATCCATCTGTAAAAGCTATTCAGCTGGATAAGAGCTCATGTTTGTCTCTTGGATTCTCAATGAAATGGCATGGCAAGTCTGTTACAATCATGTTGGAAAGCATCTCATTCTCTATATACACCTTGCCCTCTTGGGAGACAAACTATTCGTGCGATCCAAGTTTGTTAATTAAAGATCGATGGATTTGACAATCAAAGAAGGCGCTAGTGTGTTTTGAATCCTCATTCGTTTAGTACATCAACTGCTCTACAAAATTGCAAATGTTCAAGTCTCTGTCTGATACACTTAGCAAAACAAGAAAATGTCTCTCTTTATTTGCCAAGTGAAACTAAGGAACTGACCAAACTTCCACTGTTGTGATGTCTTCAAGAGTGTTCTGATTGAGCCTACCAGTGGCAACACCGGAATAGGGCTGGCATTTATGGCTGCTGCTAAGGGTTATAAGCTTATAATTACAATGCCTGCTTCAATGAGCCTTGAAAGAAGAACCATTCTCCGCGCTTTTGGAGCTGAGCTGATCCTCACAGATCCAGCCAGGGGCATGAAAGGTGCTGTTAAAAAGGCTGAAGAGATCGTGGAAAGAACACCCAATGCATACATGCTTCAGCAATTTGAAAACCCTGCTAATCCCAAGGTATATAGTTCACACACTCAAGGGATAATGACACATATGGTCCTTGATCTTTCACTCAATATGCGACGTGGTCTCTGAACTTTAACTCAATTGCAATGTGGTCCTTGGACTTTTTGGTACATATTTAATTAAGTCCCTAGACTGTCTAAAAGTGTTCGATGTTGCCCTCGAACTTGAATTAATGGAAGGTCAACATTGAACATTTTCAAACTAAATTGAGCATATACTAAATAGACACCACGGTAAACAAATTAAAAGTTGGTTGGAAAAGGTTAAGTTCTTCCTGCTTTTGTAGATCCATTATGAAACAACCGGACCAGAGATCTGGAAAGGCTCGGGAGGCAAAGTTGATGCCCTCGTTTCTGGGATAGGAACTGGAGGCACAATAACCGGAGCAGGAAAATACCTGAAGGAGCAGAACCCAGAGATCAAGGTGCACATTTCTGTCTCCTAGTTAATATTTCTTGGCAACTTTACCGTTTCTCATGTTTCTCCTTCATTTCTTTCCGGGTTGCATTTAGCTCTATGGCGTGGAACCTGCGGAAAGTGCAGTATTATCGGGTGGCAATCCTGGTAAGTCATGATCTTCGATATGCTCTTGGATCCCTTTGTAACTGGTAGAGTGATATTACATCGATTTTAACTTTTCCCCGCGTACTTTTTCTTTTCCTTCTCCACTAATTGAAGGCCTTCGATGGGGAATCATACCTTGTGTTTGGGTTTTGATTGTGCTTCTCTTGTTAGTCTGCCTCTGCGATGCATGATTAATATAAAGCGAGAAGAACTTAGGAATGGCTATCCCGATTTTCTAGGGATACAGGAAGAGTAGTTATTTAAGTAAGTTGGAATAAGTGCACTGGAAGTCTTAAAACTTATCACGAAGATACAATTCAGTCCTAAAACTTACAAAAAGTGTAATCAAGTTCTAAAACTTATTAAATGGGTGCAATCGAATCATTCCGTTAATTCCGTCCAACTTGGCTAACAAAAAATGCTAATGTGGCTTTTTTTAAATATTTTTTCTCTCCTACGTGGCTGAAACATGAAACATTAGGTTAAAACGATGTCATTTTGGTCCAAATTTGATTTTTAATATAAATTTTATTTGAATTAAATTAAAAAATAAGCTAAATAAAAAAAGGATGGTTACGTGAGAAACTAGGTAGTGAGAGTGGGGGGATGGCCGGCGAGAATCACCAGGCCCCGGCTAGTGGCTGGCGACCCCTTACCAACGATGGTGGGGTGGCAGCTTCTTTGCCGCCTGGTTTCTCACGTCTTTTTTTTTTTGTTGGTAATTTACCCTTTTTTAATTTAATTTAAATAAAATTTGTATTAAAATAAGATTTTGATCAAAACGGCGTCGTTTTAGCCACGTCATTGTCACATATGATAGAGAAAATAATAAAAAAAGTTACGTCATAATTTCCATCAGTCAAGTTGGATAGAGTTAACGGAAGGACTCAATTACACAAATTTGACAAGTTTTAAAATTCGATTACACTTTTTGCAATTTTTAGGACTTAATTACATTTTCGTGATAAATTTTAAGATTTTCAGTGCACTTATCCCAATTATGTTTAAAGAAAGCAAAAACTTGCCCCTAAATTAACTTCATTGAAAGATTGATATGATCAACGAACCGTAGATTTTGATTATCCGTTTCCTTTTCCTCGCATGACGGCGTAGCTACCACAGACCTGGGTTCTGCCTGGACAGCGTTTTATTTTGTCACTAGAACATGTGAATTTGCTTCATTTGTCTGGGGAATAAATTAATGCTTAGACTTTCTACCCTTTCATATGTTGTTGTGATGTTCAGCATCGTTGTATTTTAATTTCACGCATTATACAAAATAAATTGCCGAAGGTCCGCATAAAATACAAGGCATCGGTGCTGGCTTCATCCCTGGAGTGCTTGATGTGAAATTACTTGATGAAGTTGTTCAAGTAAGTCTTTATCCATACAAGAAGACAAGTTTGTGCTATCTTCTTTCTGTTTTCTGGTCCTGCCATCATGTTCAGTTATCCTCGTTCCTAAATTTCATAACATCCAAGCTGTAGGACAAGGGCAAAAGCACTAAACATGCGAACAGAAAGTCTGCTCTCTAGCTGATGTCCATCTTACTACCTGATAGAGTCATCATTTCTATTCATCAAAATGACGACGACTCTTCAATTGCACATTCTTTTTTCGATTTGCATACCGTTAGCCAACGATCTTTGTGATGTAAATGTGGTTCCTTTCAAGTGGTACATGACAGTGAGGGACTGCATAACTCTGTTCCTTCGGTTCCTGCTATCTCAATCAATGCATTGACTGCCACTCGAAGGGCCAAGTAAAATGCACTTCCACCAACTTGTAGATCTCGTTCACAAGCAAACTAGCTTGTTTTGGAAATTCTTCATTCACAATTTCATCAGTATTGAGGGAACTTCTGCTCTAAATGCTAAAACAGCTACTATTGGTTTTTCCCTCCAATTTTTTCCATCACCTTGTTCTTGGTCCAGATACCAGAAGTTTACCTAGGATGAAAAAGCTCTCGGAAATTCAATTTCACGAAAAGACAGAGACCAATTCTCATCTCAGTCCGTATATCTTTATATATCAAGCTTCCGAACATAATGTGACCTCCATTGAGCAATTCACAGCGGCTATTACAGGATTATCTTTCTGACTTTGCAGGTATCAAGTGAAGAAGCTATTGAAACTGCCAAGCTTCTTGCAGTGAAGGAGGGTTTGCTGGTAAAGTGACTTGTCTATCATTGGACATTGAGACTTCAGAACCCCAAGCTAGGAAACATTTCTTGAGATATGACATGATCGTGGCACTTCAAGTTTTCTGCTGCTTGCTTTTCAAGCGGCTTCTTAGTAATTTTATCATTTTCACTTGCAGGTCGGGATATCGTCGGGTGCAGCTGCTGCAGCTGCAATTAATATTGCAAAGAGGCCAGAAAATTCAGGAAAGCTCATTGTGGTGAGTTTATTTGCTTTTGTTGGACATCATGAGCAGAATATCAAGTATTTTACAAGTGACTTCGCAATAGCATAGCTGTGGAAGCATGCATATCTTCTTGTTCTGCGAGCCTGGCTTACTTAAGTTTTCTTCAGCTTGATGTCGACTTTCTTTCTGTTGAATGAAACTACTCATATTTTCCTTCTCTAAATGATAAAAAAACCGTTTTAAGCTGTTCATGCTCTTCTTCAGCAGCAAGCAACCATTCGATCATACTTATACTAAACACGAACCCTGCTCAGGTGGTCTTCCCGAGCTTTGGAGAGCGTTATTTGTCTACTGTGCTGTTTCAATCCGAGAAGCAGGAGGCAGAGAATATGCTCTATGAACCTTGACTAATTTCCTCAATGTGTTGACATACTTTGATTTGGTTTAATTGACACATCAAGAAGAAATTCCAGCCGGCACATTCTGATGAAGATTTGTCCTCTGTGACAAGTACACAATAACTCGCTGCGGGGACATGTATGTTTCTTTTTGTTTCCCCCCTTCAGTTTTTTTCTTCGCTTGTGCAAATAAAACTGATCAGGCTGGCCGCGGAGAGTTATGTTCGTACTGTACTCTTCCGACTTTCTAAACTTTCGTGTGAGTTTTCATAATCCTCTTGTGAGTATAACCTTCTGCGTTCGGTGAAGGGGAAAGGTGACGATTCATAGGTAGGATCTACTCTTTGACTTCCTCCACTGGCCATGCTTTCTGTAATCGAATTAGCCATATGCATAAAGCTGATAGCAGTTCCATCTCATACTACATGAAGAAGTAACGTTCAGATCTTGATGAACATGACTATATCAGAGCTAATTTCATACATATATGTAGATAACCCAGTGACTTGTAAATGTAGATCAGTCTATTAGCTTTTGGTACGAGTTTAGAACAGAGAAAAAGATGCCAAGAGAAAAGTCTGGACTTTTAGGCTCTTTATGAAACCGGTTCCAAAATCAGTTCGATTCCCGGGTGATTCTTCACTTAAAGCCGGGAACCAAACTAGTTCCTATTGGTTCCAAACAGGCCGGTTCCAACGGGAACCTGGAATTGGATCGATTTTCAGGGTAGTCTAGTTCGATTCCCAAGTAGAACCGGTCCGGTTGCACAACCTTAGCATGCACGACCCATGAACTATGGATCGCTCGAGTTTGTTCGGGGCAAGTTTTAAGAGATGTGAGTTTTGGGTGCGTTAATTTTGCAAAAAATGAATGATCTAAAAACATTTTTGTAAAAGTAATTGCTTTTATTGCTTATAAAAATGAATAGACGAAAAATATTTTCATCATTTATTAAAATGGTTAGACATAAATCATTGTCAATAATGGAAATATTTTTCATTAACGTAAATAATATAAGCAATTGCTATTAAAAAAATATTTTTTAAATTATTCATTTTCGCAAAATAAATGGAGCCTTAATCTTTACGTTTAATTTTGAGTCTCGATTTGCAATTATTTATTTTTCCAATCTTTATTCCGAAAATTTAAAATACAAGACCATCTCCTATGATACCAAGATGAATGTAGACGTCAAACCAGCCACCTTCGCCGGAGTCTCTTTCCCCAGCGCGCAAATGATGCAATGCTCTGTCTATATATTTATTTACTGAGTTTGTCAGTCAACTTTTTTATTTTTCTTTCTTCTTTTTTATCTTGGCTAATAATAATAATAATAATAACAACGGCATCACTTCTAAGCTCATATAGGTGAAGTATCTACCATGTGTTTCTGTTACTATTAACACATTACAAGTTTGTACTATACTTCATTAAGAATTCAATTCATCCTCTAAAACGTAACAGACGATACTAACTTCTCATATCAGGGCTAACGTTAGTATCAAATAATCACATTCAGTAACTTGTTCTTACCCATTAAACCTTGTAACTAGTGATGTTCTAGAAAAAGGTTGGGTTACCATTACTAATGATTTTAATTAAAGGGTTTCAGCCCCATTTCTTTCGAGGTCATAGTTACCATCTGTCTTGATAAATCCTTTGTAAAAGGATCAGCTAAATTATTACTTGACCTCACGTAGACAATTGTTATGGTACCATCTTTAATCAATTGTCTCACATACTCATGCCTTAGGCTAATATGTCTAGACTTACCATTATAAGTGCTACTATAAGCTCTTGCTAAATTAGCCTGACTATCACAATGAATAGAGATAGGAGGCATAGGACTAGACCATAATTTGATATCCAACAACAAATTCCTAATCCATTCAGCCTCTTTCCCAGTTGCCGTCAACGCAACGAATTCGGATTCCATCGTTAAGTGAGTTATACATGTTTGTTTCTTGCTCGCCCAAGAAACAGCACCTCCGCCGAGTGTGAAAATCCATTCAGAAGTGGAATGTTTATCACCCACACTTGTAATCCAACTAGCATCGGTGTATCCTTCTAATACAGCCGGATAATTATTATAGAACAGACCTAAATTTTTAGTTCTCTTAAGATAACCAAAAATTCTGGTAATAGCCCTCCAATGTTCTATACTTGGATTACTAGTATACCTACTCAACTTGCACACAGAATGAGCAATATCAGGTCTAGTACAATGCATCGCATACATTAAAGACCCTATAGCACTCGCATATTCAAGTTGTACTACCGCTCTACCAGTATTATAATTTAACTTAATACTGGAATCAAATGGAGTACTTATTTCCTTGAAACCAAGATGCTGAAATTTATTTAGCATTTTTTCAACATAATCACATTGGCTCAAAGAATAACCCCCACCATGCTTTTTAACTTTAATACCTAAGATAGTATCTACTTCACCTAAATCCTTCATTTTAAACACGGAGGTTAGATACTTCTTAGTCTCAACTATTCCAGTCATATTTGTTCCAAAGATAAGCATATCATCAACATACAAGCATACTAAGACACCATAGTCTTTAGTGAATTTAGAGTATATACACTTATCAGCACTATTGTGGATGAAACCATTAGACAATATGACCGAATCAAATTTTTCATGCCACTGCTTAGGAGCTTGCTTAAGCCCATAAAGAGACTTCGCCAATTTACATACTTTCCTTTCATTTCCAGGAAGAATGAAACCCTCTGGTTGTTCTATGTAAATTTCCTCATTTAAGTCTCCATTCAAGAAAACAGTCTTGACATCCATTTGATGAACACAAAAATCATAAATGGAAGCTATAGCAAAAAGAATTCGAATAGAAGTTATACGTGCAACAGGAGCATACGTATCAAAATAATCTATTCCTTCCTTTTGTCTATACCCCTTTGCCACTAGTCTAGCCTTAAAAGCTTGGATAGAACCATCAGAATGATATTTTCTTCTAAAAACCCATTTGCAACCAATAGGCTTGGATCCTTTAGGTAAGTCTACTAATACCCAAGTATTATTGGACATAATTGAGTCCATTTCATCATTTACAGCTTCTTTCCAAAAAGAAGTATCTCTAGAAGACATAGCATCAACAAAGCTTTTAGGATCGTCTTCTAAATTTAATACTAAAGGGTATTTATTTACCACGTTATTATCTCTGTCTCCTTCAACAAGGAAAACGTGAGTAATATAATCTGGACCTAAATCCTTAGGTTTTCTTGCTCTAGAGCTTCTCCTCAATTCAGTCATGTCTCTAGAATCATTTGTTCCTTTCTCTTGAGAATCTACATGAGTTTCTATAGGTCTTGAATTATTTTCAATAATTTCAGAACCTGTAGAACATTTGTTCTCAAAAAATTCAACATCTTTCGATTCTACAATGACATTGGATTCTAAGTCAAGAAGCCTATAAGCTTTACTGTTTTCAGCATATCCAATAAAGACACTTTTGATAGCTCTAGGACCAAGTTTAGTTCTTTTAGGGTCCGGTACTCGGTAGTATGCCAAACACCCCCACACTTTAAGATATGACATGTTTGATTTTCTACCTTTCCATAATTCATAAGGGCTCACGTTATTTCTCTTAGATGGTATTCTATTATGAATATAACATGCAGTAAGCAATGCTTCTCCCCAAAGATTAATTGGTAGCTTTGAATTCGAAAGCATACAATTAACCATTTCTCCGAGAGATCAATTTTTCCTTTCAGCCATACCATTTTGTTGTGGAGTGTATGGTGCGGAAACTTGATGAATAATACCATGTTCTTCACAAAATGAAGAAAATTCATTTAAGAAATATTCTCCACCTCTGTCTGAACGTAGAACTTTGATTTTCCTTTCCAATTGATTTTCTACTTCAGCTTTATATTTCTTGAACATGGTGAATGCTTCATCCTTCGACCTCATGAGATAAACATATAAATACTTACTGCAATCATCCACAAAGGTAATGAAATACCTTCTACCGCCACGAGTTATCATTCCATTGAATTCACATATATCAGTATGTACTAAATCCAATAAACTCGAATTTCTTTTCACACTTGGAAATGGTTTCTTAATTAATTTAGACTTAGCACATATTTCACATATATCAAATTCGCCATTGAAATTTATCAAGCCTAACCTTTTCATATTCTTTAAATAACGAATATTGATATGTGCCAACCTACTATGCCATAAAGATAGAGACTCAACAATATAAATAGAAGTAGCGATATTATTATTGATACTCAATTGATACATGCCATCATTGGCATAGCCATTTCCAACAAATAGCCCATTCTTCGACAGGATAACCTTGTCGGATTCAAACAAAATCCGAAACCCCCTTTTACAAAGTAAATCAATAGAAACTAGGTTTTTCCTAATTTCAGGTACAAACAACACATTAAGAAGAGTTATCTTCTTTCCAGAAGTGAAATCTATCTCCACCGTGCCTTTGCCAGCAACCTTTGAAAGAGCATTATTCGCCATCAGGACCTCTTGAGCATTTGTGTCGACAGTCTCTTCAAATTGCTTGAACAAATATTTGTTCTTGCACACATGAACTGTCGCTCCAGAATCTAACCACCAACCGGATTGGACAGTGGCAGAATTGATTTCAGAAATCATAGCCATCGAACCATTGATTTCAGCAATGTTCATATTTGAAAACTTGGTTGAAATCATGGCCACATAGTTCTCTTCAACCAAATTTGCATCTGTCTTCATCATTGGAATGTTCTTGTCCTTTGATATGCTCTTGCGGTGAATGCAGTCCTTGGCATAATGTCCCTGTTTGCCACAAACAAAACAACAACCCTTCTTCTTCTTGTGTGTCTTCTTAAATGTATGCCCGTTCTTTACCTTAAAGTTCTGGCCGAATTTTCTTTTTCTCTCCACAGCATTTACCTTGGAATTATACAAAATAGAATTATCACGTGTACGTGACTCTTCCTCAATACGAAGATGTTTCTGTATTTGCTCCAAGGTGAAGTCCTCCGACTTATGCATCAGCCTTTTTCCGTAGTCTTTCCAAGTTGAAGGCAATTTTGCAATAATTGCTCCAACTTGAAAGGTTTCTGGAATTTCAATTTTGAGGGCACGAATTTTGTTGACGAGCACTTGTAATTCGTGGACTTGTTCCAACAGGGGCTTAGTATCAATAAACTTGAAATCGAAATACTTTGCGATTAAATACTTATTGGTACCTTGCTCCTCCGCTTTGTACTTGAATTCCAGTGCGTTCCAAATTTCTCTGGCCGACTTCATCTCAGTGAATAAGTCATACAATCTATCAGACAGTGTATTCAGAATGTGTCCACGACACAGCAATTCGTCCTCCTCACGTTTCCTCTTTTCCTTGTTAACCCTTTCAACGGCTTCCGCACTTGGTTGTTCTCCCTC